TAAATAGGGTATCGTTTCCCTTGGTACAGCAGGTATATACAACAAAGATTTTCCCCATGTCCAACAATGCCAAAAACACCATGCGATGCAAATATTCCATACAAAAAACCAAGAGGCGATATCCACATCAGTTCAGACGTGCGCCTTCTTCCTCCCTCTCCTCTCACCCTCCTTCCTCATGCGCCCCAACCTGGTCCCGCTACCAGGCTGGCTCGCCCTCCACCACGTCAGGGGTTTAATCTTGACATGCCAACCGCATTCCTCCACCGATTCGATTCTTTGTTTCGAAACGATGTTGCGGATCTGTTCCGTCGCAACCAGGGGCATGTAATGTCCTGGTGCGAAGAACTCGCGTTCGGCGTCGCCCCGAAGCGCTGGACTTAGTCATGAGAAGAAGTACTTCGATTCGCGGAGACGAGATACGTCCCAGCCGCCCTTTTGCGGAACGGGTGGGAAGCTGAGTGGGATCCAGACTTGAATCGTGCCCTGATCGTAAGCGACACGGGATGCGGATTTCTTCTTTGTCGCATAACGGCCGCCTTGGGGGTCTTTTGCGAGATCTTCGGCGTCCTCTTCCACAATGTCCATTGTGGACTCAGTGGTGGTGACGGCGTCCTCTTCTTCGCCCAAGACCTCGTCCTTGACCTGTGTTTCCCTGTCGGCTGACTTCTTATCTTTGGTCTCCCCAAGAAGACTGAGCCTGTACGAGTGGAGTGCCTTGGGATCCTGATTCTCAAGCCAGATGCTGGTAGGTGTGACCATCTCTTCACCCTGCTTCCTCTTCTCGGGATCTTGACTCTTCAAAAGCTCTTGTCGCTTAGCCTCGAGCGCAACTTCCTCGAACGAAGCATCTCCGTGCCGTGAACCATTAGCTTTCGAAAGAATGCCCTTAGCTTGACGGCGCTCATGTCTCCATAGAGTAATTTTCCGACTAACATCGGCACCGATGTGAAGAGTAGCACGATACATAGCCCCTGCATAACGCGCAGAAAACTCTGCGGCGAGACGGTCGACAATGTCTTCGGTGTGCATTCGTACGAAGGCATCGCGAAGGATGACATTGAGGTTGGGGATGTCGGAAGCGTGTGTCCAGAAACTGTCGTGTACGGCGGCGAAGTCAAGACCCATCTCGCTAGCCTTCAATGCCGAGAGCAACATGTGACTCGCATCGAGAGAGTGGATGAAGTTGGGCGGAAACGCTTGAAGTTGTTTGCGTTTGTCGACTTCATCCTGCTGGGACTTCTTGGCGACTGTAATGTCTTGAATCTTGGTTTTGATCTTTTGGAACCCATCTTTCCTGTAGGGCTGCACAATGGGCATCTTTAGCGGGGTGGTCCAGATGATGCTAGTCGTAAAGCTCTCCATGGCCTTGTTGAGTTGCTTTAGTTGACCTGCAGAGACCTTTTGTGGCGCTTTGAATTTCGGATCGTACAGTGCTCCAGAAGGGTCCGCGCCATCGAAGCGGTCTTTGATCCGTTTGATTTGCTCAGCAGTGATTGATGTCGTTATACGCTCGCCGCATTCGCCAAGCCAATACTGGATTTCTTGAGCACCGTTGAAGATTTTGCCCAAGGCGTCAAAGATCTTGTAGGCAATGTACAACGCGACGCTTCCGAGCGAAGAAACCTGTTTTGTTGGCTCGAAGTTAGGGAACAAGTTGCGTAGCTCGTCTTGCACCTGCTGCTTCGCACCCATGAAGGTAACTCCATAAACATTGGTCATGACTGTTCGCTTCACGACTTTGCGTGTAATGTGACCGTTGATGAAGCAAGCTTGCGCCAGACCTTTCTCGGCGTCTTTCGCGACCATCTCTTTGACAAGTTCAGCAACACCAGTGTAAATATCCTGTGGTCTGTCGGAAGGCTCAAGATTGACCTGACGAGCACCGGCGTAGTCACCACCGAGCGCTGCGTAATGTTGGAGTCCGTTACATGTTCCATCTTGATGAACAGGTAATTGTGAAACAAAACGAGTCGGATCAGGCAGATCATGGGCGTTCTTCAGCTCCATGCAGCAAGACAAGCATTGCCATGGGTCTTCAGCCTGAGTCCACCACCGTCTGCCACCCAAAGGATTTGTCGCAGAGTCGTAGATCTCTTCCAGATTATCCATGGTGAACTGTTCACGTTCTCGCAGACTAGCCTTATCGTAGCCGTAAAGGTTGGCAAGATGGATCTTGAGCCACTGTAAACCGACAGTACCGAGCTCTTTGCCATTCGCGAACTTGAGGAGTCCTCTCGAGATATCGGATCCGATGTGATTGAGGATAGGCGGGATTGGATAGGCACGACCTCGGAAGTCGACGCTGTGCGGGAAGAATATCTGCTTTTCGTTCACGTATGCTCGTGCCGTCTCTAGCTGGAAGTTTTGGAAACACCGCTGCGAATGCAGACCACCCACGCTGTTCTCATATTCCTTCAGAGCCCTACCCCACTTCGCCCGTTCCTGTAATGTGGCATCTCCAGAAGGTTCCTTGGGACGTTTGAGGTTAGTAACAGAGTCTTCCCCTACGAGAGACCCAATACTCTCGCCAGAGTTCCACGCCTGAGCCATAACCTCGAAGACGGGAGTATTGATCTGCCAAGGTACACGACCGAGCACGTCCAGACCAGCCATGACTTTGTTCATGTCACCGTTCTCAATGGCTGACTTGGCATAAGCACGCTGTGCGCTATCACCCGCCTTTTGGCGAACTACTTTCTGCGGGATGGTGTAGTACCCTCCATCCTCAAAACTGGACCATGGTTTCGGCTCAACTACCATTGGTAGCCTGACTGAATGGATGGCATGCACAGAATCGGTTCGTAACTTGGAAATGAGCTCATGGTGAGGCACGAGTAAGCCGAGCTTTTTGCCTTGATGATATCCGACTGCATGATGGAAGGCGGCCATATTACGGGACAGCGTCTTGCCAGTTCTGGGGTCGTTTGCGGTCACAGTGAGGGTTGCGCTTTGAAGCAAAAGCTCTAAACAGAGAGCTCCAATCCGGGTTCGCACAGATAGTGGTATGTCGGCCTTTTCGATTTGATAGCTCATTTTCGGGGGTGCTGGTGTAGAAGAAGCCTCTTTAGTCTCTTTGGAAAGTTTCTCAACCAGATTCATCCGGGTCTGCTTGCGCTGCTTGCGGAGGAAAGCATCACGTCTCGTCTGCGACTCGGCGTTGAGGTAGTCTTGGACGTCAGTACCTATGGAAACAGACAGAGCGGCAACTTTATAGGCGGAGTTGTCTTCGTCTTTGCCCTTTACTGCAGCCTGAGTAGCGCGAGCAACTGTGATTGCGGCCAACTTTTCAGGCCTGCATCTCTCCAGCCAAACACCATAGGAAAGGGCTTCGTCACGGGTCTTGGCCTTTTCAGGATCGGACAAGGTGTCCTTGACATTTGCAATACGCTGCTTGAACAGTGGTACGAGGGCGGTGTACCAGCCATACATGATGGCCTGTATGGGCTTTGAGTTCATAACGCCATATATGCCAATCTCTTGCATTTTCTCATCTTCTTGTTTCCATCTCTCAACAGCAGCTTCTACTCCATCTTGTTCTATCTTCAGTTGTCGTGCGTATGCGTAGGCTCTGTCCTTGTCTTCTTGGGTCCCAGGCATATCATGAGGGTAGGGAACGCTTGACCCGTCGTCGAACATGGTGAGGGCTTGCTTCAGCGAGTCGAGACCCATGCCCTTCTGCCTCACGGGCTTGATGGGCTGTGCTGGGTTGGACACCAGGCCGTGGTCTATGAGATTCTTGCGACCGGAGGGAGTGGCGACGTGGAGATCCTGGACCTCTTCGACCGAGGGGGGTTCGTTGAACGACTCCGGTTGCAGGCGGATCAATAAGTCCCACTCCTCGTCGGAGAACTCGGGAGAGGCGTTGATCTGGTCAAGAACATGATCGCCGTGTCTGCGTGCGGTTGCAATGTATTCCCGTACAGAGTTTTCCTGCGCGCCCTCTTCCAGGAAGCTCATAGCCGCCCGGATTAGGGTGACAAAAGTCTGCGCATTGGGCTGGATGCCCTTGGCGACCATATTGTTCTTGTACCAGTCTTGGACCTTCTGCATGCCCTCGGCACTTGGGTCCATCTGGTTGCTTTCGAGCAGCGTCTGCAAATAGACATTGTTGGCATCTAAGAGCTCTGCAGCTTCGGGATTGAAGACAGATGCGAGGCGGGCGATGATGCTGGCAGCCCGGTCCAGGCGGCCAACTCGCAGACAGGCGTAGAGATTCTGGTGTAGCTCGATTGGGTCGGCACCGAGGCCGTAGACAGAACGCATCGGTGGGGATGCCGCTAACGTGTCACGCACGACGAGAGGATTTGTAGCGTCCCATGGCTGGAGCCGCGACAGCTCAGGCGATTGGAACTGGCGTCCCAGCGACAGCGCAAACGGGTCGAAGGGGAGGGCCGAGGGCGGTGGGGGTTGCATCTGCGCAGACGTGGCGAGGGAGCGTGTCTCGTGCCGTGACGACAGTGAAGTCGGCCGTTGCCGCTGCCGTTGCCGTTGGCTCGCATCGTGTGGTGTGTGTGAAGTCTTGCGGGAGAGCGCTGGGCAGAGCCATGGTAGCGTCAATTGCTGCGACAGCGTCGAGGGCGTCGTGTAGGCATTTCTGCGGATGTTCCGCCCTAACGCTCGTGAGAGCATGTCGTGGGAAGGAGCGTGGCGCGTGCAAGTCTATGGGGTATTAAACAGATAAGAAAGAAAGAAAGACCAGACTGCTCAACGCCAGAAGACAAGTAGAAGGGACGATGCAGTGAATCGGGGGTATCAACTGGACGTCGAGTTGCCTCGCAGTTGAAGTTTCTCTCTCATGGAAATTTTGGCCGACCATCAGATCCATGCCCGCGTCATCACCGAAACGGCATCGCCCCACCTTGGCGCCTTCCTCGCCACCCGAGCCACTAGCCACGGCCCTGCGCCTCTAGCACGAGATGATTACATAACGCATCAATCATTTGCATCAGCATCAAGTGAAAGTGGTATTATACAAGATACATTTCGAGCTCGACCCATCATGGTTCTTCACTTTCAGCTGTAGGTCTCGTGATCGTCCTCTCCCTCGTCGACGTCGCAATAGGTAGCGCATCCTCAATCAACTTCTCCAATTCATCATCAATCGGCGCATCAAACATCTCCACCTCTCTCGTCTCATCATCCACCCAGTCACTACCATCCTCGTCTCCAAAGCAGAACAAATCGCTAGCTTCACCCGCAACAATCTTCTTATGCTTGCCTTTGGGTATCTTGCAGCCTCCAACCTCTGTGCGGAACAAGTCAGCATATTCTTTCGCCACGGTAGATACATTTGCGGGAGCAATCGGTTTCCCATCATAGAGAAGGTGGGGCAGGTGAGGTATCTCAGGGAGGTCGCCTTTGAAAGGCAGCGCTTGGTGGAGGGGCACTGAGCCTGGGATGACTGGCGGTTCGGGGTTTTGGGGTGGCTTGGGTGGTGTGTCGGCGCGCAGGAACGGTGCATCTGTCTCCTTCGGTATGGTTGGACTTTCTTTCCCGTCCTCAGAGGTAGTTGCGGAGAATTCCTCGGGGATGTGATACAACTCGTTGTGGATGGGAACCAGTGCATTTTCCATCGCTGCGGGATACAGGAGCGAATAACCTCGCGCGCGCATAAACTCGAGCATGTACTCTGTCCATGCTGGAAGTGTCTCAGACACCAACTTTTCCCGAGATGTCGACTTGACCGACTGCTGATGTTTCACAACACGGTTGCTGAGGAATGAATGCCACTCTGCCCATTTGTCCCCCAACAACAACGCGGCATGGCTGTTCGGAGCCTGCCACATGTAAGGCACGCTCTTAGCGTCAGGATACAACTTCTTGTACCGATCCGTGTGCATGTCGTCGGTCGAAGGAGCCTCCAACTTCGTCTTGCCATCTAATAGCATCGGTGGTAACTCCAGGCTCATGCCCATGAGCTTTTCGTTATCTTCTGCACCGTAAGTAGAGTATTTGTATTCCAACAACGCATACTTGACGAAGTGGAAGTACTGTGGCGATAGCTGAGCCTGCGGTGAGAGCAGTAGCACATGCGAATTGGTTGTGCTTGCGGGGTAGAACAACTCCAAGAAACGTATCGCCGATTCCTCTTGATCATGGCGGTGGGTTGAGATGCGCCGTCTGATGCTGAGACCGCTTCCGCCCGTTGGGTTGTCACTCTTTGGGGGCCATTTGAAGCTTTCTATGTGCTCCTGAACGGATACATCGAGCTCGGCTGGTAGCTCGATCGTGATGCGGGGCAACGTTAGACCGCCGTAATCAGCATCTTTAATCGACTCCAGTAATCGAAGAACACTGGATGAGCCTGACGGGACTTGAATCAGAATGTCTACAGTGGGGTCGTGCCAGTGCTTGAGCGAGCCGGCGTCAAGTCGCGAGACCCAGGCAAAGTCCTCCAATCTATCCTTGGGTACTTCGACAAGAGGCATCTTTAGCGCACCAGTTTTACTTCGCATGCCTCGCACGAAAAATGCATCTTCGGACACCGAGTCGTCGATAACGACTGCTTGTGGATGCAGGAAGCTGTTGATATGCGACATGGCACCTGTCACCGCTGTCTCAGCGCGTACATCGGTACTGTACCTATAAGCAGCCTTTAATCAGCCCTGACTCTCTAAAAGAGTCTTTGCACGACATTCCTTGAAGGCTCAAGACGAAGAGTCGTGCGGGTGTACATACTCTGTATAATCCGGTCGCGCATCATGCCACACAGCAGGACACTTGTCCTTGTCTATCCCGTTTATCTCTAACAAATCTTCTATTCGTATTTCATCCCTCCCCATGAAAGCCGCGTGAACGTGGTTCCGGTTCCATTGCGACATGTCGCACACCATCGGCAAAAGCGTCGAGACGCTCTTCAGATTTGACATGGCAAATAGTATATTCCTATTCTTCTTCTCATAGCCACCCGTTGACGAAGCAGACGCGCGCAGCGAGCTAGCGAGACGGAAGAAGCGTATCTGCCCATCGTATGTATGCGGAATTGGATCCCCGCGTCTGGGTTTTTGTATGCCTGCGGGCGGTCCTGTAGGTTCGTCATCGTTGCCGCTTGCGCCCGGCTTCTGATAGGTCGATGAGATGGGCCGTCCGCGATATCGCTGTTCGACCGGGTCTTCGAGGTCGTCCGAGCTGCCGTGGAAGGTGTAGTACAAGAGGCATAAGGCTACTATCGCGAGTAGTATCCTTCTCCGTCGCCAGCGGAATGTGTGATTCCACATTGACCAGCTAGACTGTCGCGCGGGTTTGTATCGGTGGTCATCGTCTTTCTTGCCCAACTCTTCATCGCCTGGGAGCGTCGTCTTTCGATACATGGCGCCGCCAATGGAGCTTCGCTGTAATCACGCGTTGTACAAGGCCTATCTCTCCGCTAGCAATCATCCATGGCGATAGCGGAGTAAATGTCGCGTGCGATTCGTGCGGGCGGCGGAAGCTGTGTGAGCATGCGACGGGTTGCTGACCTCAGCTATGGGGGTAATACGGAGGATCCCAAGTCGAGAGAAACGGATGCGCGAATCCTAGAATCATGAAAATAACATAACGGGTGGTGCAAGGTCCCTTCAAAGGCGTGTCGGAGGCAATGGAAGAGGACATTTGGAGTTGCGATAACCTCGATTCATTGTCCTCTCGGAAAGCACATCCCTGCAACGCATCATCCCGCTCGCTTGCAGCTGCCGCCACGTGCCGTCTACGCTACTGCGAACCCTCTCCTGCTTCCCTCACAACTGCCATCCCGTCCCAAAATCACGTGTGAGCTGCCACATCATCGCTTCTTCGACTGTCCGCATGAACGTGCTGCATACGATCATCACGCCTATTTGCAACACAGCTGTGGAGCTTTACGGACGCCAAAAGCCATTTAGATTAATCAATACGCACACGCCGGACCAATATGTCCATCTACTACTCACACCTTCTCATGCTCAGCCAATCGCTCATCTGCCGCCTTCAGAGCCTCACGTAGTACTTGCTCATTCCGCGGCTTGAACAGAATCTGGTAAGGCCGGCACATAGTCACCAGACTGGTAGGGTCTGAGCTGCCCCGGACAGGGTGCACGTCTACCTCCGACTCCGATACAAGCTCAAAGCTGTTCAGCATGCGCAGGAAAACGAGATACAGCTCGCGATTGGCCAACAATGAGCCTGCGCACATCCTGTAACCCAGCCCGTATGTGTGCAAAGGTGCATCGGGCTGCTCGAGCCAGCGCTCTGGGCGGAACTCGTCTGGGTCGCTCCAGACCTCGGGATCTGTGTTGTAGTCAGTATCGCTGTTCCTAATGTAGATGGAGCAAACTGAGAATGGCTTACCCATGTTGCACGCCCATGCGTTCAGATATATCGTACTACCAGCTGAGATGAGCTTGCCCTCGTACATGACATCCTTGATGGTCGCACGAGGCAGCGCCAGACGTAGTACGGTATAGTAACGCAGACACTCTCTGACTAGTGCCACGATATATCCGCACTTCTGGTCGTCATATGCATCCGCCAGCGGCTCGTCCTCCGAGTAAAACTTTCGGATCTCCCTGATGGCCTTCTCCTGGATGTCTGGTCTTTGAGCTAGCAACGCGACACTCCACTGCACAAGGGTCGTGATTGTGTCTAGGCCGCCAGACAACATTGTCAGACTGATGGACGTCAATTCTTCCTTGTTCAACGCGGCTTCTTTGTCCTGGATGATATTCGCCTGGATACATGTCTTGTGGTTGCCTTTTTCCATGCGTTCGTCTAACTCGCGATTTAACTTGGTTAGATACACATCCCTTCGGCGCCGGTGCTCTTTCGCAGACTTTGTGCCAGAGCTGAACGGGTTCAGTCTCAGCAGCGGAATGTAGTCTTGCAAGTTTCCGGTCGTACTACGGAACTTTGAGATGGCAGCTTCAACCTCGCAAATCTCGTGGAACATGGGGTCGTGACGACTGCTCATCCGCGTTCCCCAATTGAGAGTCAGCGCAAGAGAAAGAGAGAGGCGTTCGATCATGGGCATTGGGTTTACCCCAACGGTACCGGCTTGTCCTGACTCGAATCCATCTTTTACGAACTCCTTCGTTTCGAGATCAAGGTGGTCGATGTATGTCGCAATCGAAGGCTTGTTCAGCGCGGCGGCAGCGCCCTTTCTTCTGCGCTTGAGCGAATCGTTGAAGGGAGAGGTTCCGATTGTCGTACCAGCAGTGTTTGAAAGTACCTAACACCAGTCAGATATAACTCAAAACACCCATATGCGTCCACCCACCTTGTGGAACGTCCAAAAGACCGGCCTTGAACTCAGCGCCTGGCTATTCCCCCCAAAGATCTTCCTCGCAGCCTCAGCGCTGTTCACCACGATCACCGGCTCGTTTCCAAGCTGTATCTGATACACGGCGCCAAACGTCTTGCTCCATTCCCGGTATTTCTCCGCCGCATTGTACTTGATATCCGGTATATTCCCGACCAAAGGCCAGTTCGTCGGCCCAGTAAAGCCTTTAATCCGCCGCGAGTATCGCACATATTCGTTTCCGACCAAGTAAGATATCGGAAAAAGTATCAATAAAACGAACAGAGTGCGAATTGGATGATCTGCAAACTGCGATGATAGCAGCGGGAGGATAGTGGAGATCATGGTGTTCGCTAGTGGCGCTTGCCGAAACCAACGAGTTGATCAAAGGTTGGTGATGGGCCACGACGCGATAGAGGCCTTTTACAAGCAAAAGCCGGACATTCTATATATCTACCGTTTCTCGACCATGGCGGCTTCCCCGGGCTTGATGTGGGTGAGGCCGGCTAATGCGGGGAAGAAGGTCCGCTGTTGGGGCTGCGGAATTAGGCGATGGGGAGTGCGGAACTAGTGCGCGGAGGCGCTACCACGCCATTGTCTGTTGCTCTCAACATTTTCGAGGACAGGTTGAAGTTGTGGCTTTCGCGATTCAGAACGAAGGTTATGTTTTCGAGCGCGCGACACGCTCGTGTTGGTCTACGTCACCGCTGTCTGCACTCACTCTTCGCCCAAGTACCACTTACCACATCTCCGCCTCTCGTGGTCGCATCACACCCATGACAGCCTCATAGTCATGCTCGAGCAACTCCCTTAAAGTATACCGCTATCATGAATCACTCGACTCATACATTGACGCAGCTGAGCCGTCTTAACGGCACACACGGCTCAACGTCAGTGCGCCACGATGCCCTGGCCGTCTATTACTCGATATGGCCACTGTTGGACTTCACGGACTCACCAACATGCTGATCCAACATCTTTGACCAACATGATGATCCATCATCCTTTCAACTTCTGACTCTAGCATACATCCTGTGGATATCTGAGTAGACTCATCGCGAAAGCTTCAGCTCTGATACCACAATGCGACTCACGACCTGGAGATACCCGTGGACATGTGGGTATCGCAATGAGTCCTCCCAGAAAGTTGATTCATCGGCTACCTATCTGTTGCTCATTATTTGGAGTCATGGACTAGTATAAATTGCTGCGCGTCTCCGTAGTGTTGTTCGAAATCACAAATCACTCAAATTCTGTCACCTTGCACAAATACACACAACGCTACATCTTTAATACACCCACCAAGATGGAACAGACCGTTCAGACGTTGCCTCCGGAAATGGGGAAATTGGGGGAAATCCAATTTGCGAATCCCGACATTGAGAAAGTTGCAACCAGCCTCGGTATCGCAGGCAATTGTGCTTCTGATCAGCCCTCCAATTTTGACGATGACCATTGGACCCGTCGAGTGCCAAACTTCTTTTTGGTGAAGTTCAGAGACAACACAATCGAGAACAAGGGCACTCCGGAGGAGCGTCTCGTGTATGGCATTGGCTATCACACAGACGTGAGCAAATTCGTCTTCTGTGATACAAACTATTTCAAGGACGCCTCGGGCAATTGTCGTAAATGGACGATCCAGGCTTACGTTATTAGAGAGGACGATCTGGCTACGCTGAAGCGCCGCTGTGCAGTACGCCTACAATTTATCTTTGGAGAATACGATTAGCTTGTGCAATACACGGCCGGTCAGGATCCGGAAGAGCCCCGCCCAGACAACGAGACGGGGATGGGAATGAATGTAAAATGTAAGTTGTTTCCCACTAGGAACAATTCATTTGCTTGTAGAGCTAATCGTCTGTCTTCAAAAATCCAGTGAAAGAAGTCTTCCTTGGACCACCAGATCGATACAATCCTTGGAAGTCCGATGCGCGCTATGTGGGGTGGAAAAGGAAAGGCGATCTAGACAGCAGTGCCAACTTCTGGGCAATCAAGGTGGCTTCATGGCCTCAGCAGAAAGGCTTTCTCAAAAAAGATCCACTTAACGAAAATTCACTTGTCGAAGATGTTCGCTTCGAAAACAATTGGATCTTCACGAATAACATAGCCGAGGCCCAAAGGTGGTCCCCTAAAGGCGACGATTCCCGGATGAGGGGAGTGGTTGAACTTGAGTTTAAGACGCGGGAGAAGTTTATTGGGTTCTTGAAAGAATGCGAACGGAACAAACATTGGTTTGGGGAACTTATGATCATGAGAAACACCGAAGAACACGAACGCGGAGGGCCCATCCTAGATTTTGCGGTATACAGCGAGGAGTGTAAGTCAATTGGTAAAGCATTCTTGCATCTACTAATCAATGTGTAGTTGTCTATCATCATAACCTCACTCCAGTTCCACTTGAAGAGGGAGATTGGGAGCCGCAAGGCACGAGGATAACAGTGGGAGATCTGGAGGCAGACTTCAATAAGTATGTTGAGAGATGAAGGGGAGTACAAGCCGCCAGCAACTAGTCTTTGGCGCTACCTAGGGCTCACTTAATCTGGTGTTTCCTCGGTTACATACACACTCATTATTGCGACAATGTGTTTTGAGGCTGTTTTGGAGGACTTGTTGGGGTATATGTGATGTAGCAGACAATGAGAACACAACCACACAGCTGGAATAAGAGTCCTCGTACAAATATGAGTCACTAACCGAGTAGGAAATGACAAAGCTGCTTCGTTCGGTTCTGTAATTAGATGAACTACAGTGATGATACATACCTAGGTACCCAGGTAGCCTCGAAGCGGTCGCCTGGATAGACATCATGTCTCTGGATGATCAGCTATCTTCCGCGCCATTCTCCCCACGTGATGATGCACGTAGGTCGTGCGGCGTTGTCACAGCAGTGGCAATGGCGACATATGGCTTACGAATGAACTGTCACACTCAATCGATTCCAGACTTGTACAGCCTCGTAGAGAGTTCCATGTCACATCAAGGCTATGCAAAGGTGAATACCATACCTGGATAATCCCACGCAACTGACGAAGAGTCAAAGAGACGGAGAAGACAACCGGAGACGATCGCAGCGAATCACAAGAGCCTCGTTGCTAAGTCTGGACAATGGCATCACCGCTCCGATGCGCGGCCCGCGACACGTGAGCATTGCGGCACCGGAACGAGCTGATGTTCAAACACGTACCTGAGCTGCACATGGCACATGCAACAAACGTGTGGGGGTTTGAAGCCCCCGTCACGAACGCATTCCACAGCCTCAGCAACCCCACGAGCTCCCAACGCACAGCCTGATCACAAGGCATCGCGAAAGGCCATGAGTATCAACGGGTATTTTGGGCGACGGACCGACACAGCGGTTGCGGTGAGCGTTCGTTCAATGTATAAAGCCCGGCTCTTCACGATATATGAAGGTACATTGATACGGCAGCTTAACATTCCCAATCCTTCTTCACATTATTCCCGATCACATATTCTTGCATATCAACACCAATACCCCCTCTGATCTTCTTCTCTTCAAACCCTACATCACACTTAACACGCCGTATCTGCGAGAAGCATCAGCACTTACATGAAGGAATCTCCGCGCCAGGCGGAGAAGTCACTCCGCCAGAGCGAACACGAGCCTGGCGATACCTTTCCCGAACGGCATGTCTACACCCCGCTTGACGTCGAAGGCAATCGCAGCTACTTGAGAGAGGCCACACACAGTCCCCAGAACCCAGGATCCTCGCATGGATCCCGCGGGCCTTCCGGCCAACGTTACGGGGATGCAAACGACTTCAGCCAATCTTACATGTCGAATCCTAGATTCGACGCGGCCGCTACTGCATCGCATGATCCACGTAATGCCATGCAGACATCGCGATTCGTTCCCCACAGCGACAACAACCATCTGCGTGGCGTCAATAGCTACGTTGATCTGACCAGCCCGAGCTGTCGGAAAAGCGAGCTCATGAGCAAAAGTCCCGCGCATGCATATTCGATACACCAGCGGTCTATCTCCAGGGAAGGCCCTTCGCTCGCGTCTATGCCGTCGACAGAACACTTTAGCATGGTACCGCAGGCGGCAAGTCCGCTTTACGAACCATTCCGAGGTCTTTTCAGTGACTCTGGGCACGCGAAGGAATACCGACAGAACAAGATGAGATTCAACCGTGAACCATGGAGGGATCCTGCCACTGACCCGACTATCGAGATGGTGGAACGTGATCGCGACCACAACGTAGAGCGCATCTACAATGCGATGGTCAGCGGAGATCTTGCTAGAGACAACCCCAAGTCCACGGCGCGGAAGAGATGGATCGAAGAGCCACATTACCAATCCGACTTGGTGGAAGCATACGCCCACAAGGTGTTCGACTGCCTGCTCGAGCAGGTCAGGAAAGGATTCCGCGGTTGGCAGCAGAACGACTATGTCAACGACGAGCGCAAGGGCGAGGACGAGGACAAGGATACCGACTGTGCCGGTCGGCTAGATAACATCGTCACCGCCCTAGCACAAGAGAAGTGCATCTGCGAGAACGTCATGTGCTCGGCGTGGCAGATCCGTATGTTCGTCAACGCACCTAAGGCGTATTCCAAGCGTAAGGACCAGAACCGGGTGGGTAATAGCAAGAGGCCGAATGCGAAAGGTCACAGTGTACCTGATGACAATCCGCGCGCATCGAAGAGGTCTCGTACCAGCGCTGCTCCAAGGACCGGACAGGCGCGTGGTCACTCTTCACCAGCTTCCGAGCTGCCGTTGTCGCGTGGGAACACACCACAGGAGTCTTCGGGACCGACAGGCTCACCGTACTTCACTACGCCAGTAGCCCAGCGAATGACGGCCTTCAGTCCTCCGTCTAGGTTTCTAGCACCTCAGGCCCCGGCCATGCGTCCTCCTCCTCGATCGTACCATACCTCCTTCGACCAACGCCACATCTCCGCGTCGTCGCCTCCTATGCAGTCATCATTCGCACAAGCGCAGACTCCAAAGGGTCAGCCTCTCTTACCAATCACCTCAATCTCACCTACTCAGCATTCGCCATTCCCACCTCCGCCCATGCCACGGAGCAGATTCTCAGCTTCTGCCAGCCCCGACGATGTCAAACCACCGAACAGGAACACAGACCCGTTCTTCAGTCCATGGGGACAGGCAATTCGACCAGACGCAGCCTCTCCTGACGTGTTCGCACACTTAGATCCAGCTGGCAGCTCGGGTTTCCCAGGAGTTGAGGACTGGCAGCATGAACCGTTCCCACAAAACGATGCGTCCAGCGATGCCAACCTCTTCGCGCAACATCCTGAGATGGGTGTCTGCCTTGCCGATATGGAGCTTTTGCCCTCGTTCACCGTGAATGATGTTGTAGGTGGGAACGTCTTCGACCCCTGGCAGCACCAGGACAGCGGGCACTGAATGTCAGGTACCCCCAGAAGCCGCCAGAGCCAGCTTCGATACTGTGGGTACACGTCAACCTAGGGAAAAGCTGAACAAGTCTGGATCCTAGATCGACGTTAGGTCACCTACCTGGCATGTTTCTATGTTAATGTAGGCTGCAGACCTGTTTAGCCTATCCCTAGGTTGACATGGGTAGGGTACTATTCCGGATGGCGGGGCGACATATCTTTGCACTCGCAAGCGCTAGGGGACGTACTTTGAACTTGCAGTGGTTCTTTTCGACCTTCTTTCCTCCACTTGTTGACCACCTGGGTAGTGTGGCAACTAGTCCCGATTGATTATTTCCCAGTACACGTTGGCGCTGTACGACTTTGTGGTACTATTTGTAATTGTTGTTTGGTACATTCTCTTTTGTAATCCAGAGTCGTTCAGTAATGAAGATGGAGAGCTTTGGCGGCGCTGTAGTTAGAGTGTGGACTTCGGTCTTGGAGACGTCATTCGCGGAGCTGTGGAAGCTCTATTCTTATGTTGTAATCTATTGTTAGCCCGTAGTTGAATGAATCGTAAACACCATATTCTTCGTTCCGCAGACATGCAATGGCGCGTTTGGATGGTTGATGTTAGGGAGGAAGGTCGCGAATTTGGCAAGTACCTAGGTGGCCGACACGCCGGAGACGCGTCGCGTGGGTTTGGCGATGGTGACGTCATCAACGGAACCGTGGAGCCGATAGCTCTCTTGACCTGCCTCTACATCTAACCTAAGGACAGAAAGAATAGAGTGCGCCCTTGAATCAGACTGCAGTCTGGTCCTGGGTTGGGCTTGATCTTTGAGATTGTACTTTGGTAGAAGTCTGCAGCAAGCAGTCAAGAGATGAAATTGCAGGAGTACCTCCAGTTATGTCCTAGTGAAAGTGAAAGTGCTTCCGACTCGAAGTGTACCCACTAGACAACAACAATACTGCTAACGCAAACACCGCCTCCAATCATCCATTGATGCAGGCCGGTAAATTACCCGCTCGTCAGACTCATACGTTAGCGCACGCCCTCTGAAAGGCTCTGGTGAAGCCGACGCTGCTCTTGGTTGCTTTCCCTTCCCTGCCCTGGGCGTGTCATCGTCTGGGGGCGTGATAGGATCTTCGTTCGGTGGCGTGGAAGGGCTGTCTTTCGGGGGCGAGGTGGGCTCCTCGTTCATCAAGATGATACCCTCGCACAACATGCCGACATACTCCGTCTAAGTGTTATGCGTCATTGGTCGCCTGTGTATTTTCCTGACTTTCTGGATGTTGTATCCATTCGCACAGTGATCAAGGAGGTGGTCGAGGGGCATTCCGTCGTCCGAGAAGAGTTCGCCAAGTCTAGACCGAAAGTCATCGCGGTCTATGGGGTCGTTGCGAATGACGTCGTCTGGTAGACGTTTGCTCAAGATATGCAGAACGAGAGAACAAAAGCAGCGATTGGGGGCGTGATCCTGGTAGTCGGACGATTGTATCCATTCGACAAGTTCTGGGTCAAAGATCATACGAAGATCCTCTTCGTTGGGCATACGCCACGGGATTGGATGTCGGCCAATGTGCAGAGGTGCCAGATCTTTGGGTCCCGCCTCATACCGTTTCTTCATGAACCTTTTTGTCAGAATCGACCTTAGCGTTTTCGGGTGTATCGCGTTTGGGTCAGTCGTGGGTCCGTCGGCGAGCTTTGGTGATGGAGGTCCTTGCGGCGAATCGCGTCGTATAGGCTCTTTGGGTGTCGCTTCATCCTGTGTGTCCGGGAACATATCATGCGCGAACCCCACCTAGACGCCCGGCAATCTCCTCGCATTTGCTTCTGAAAAGCCTATGGGGCAGGAAAACGACCGCGCCCTGAGAGTTGGGATGGGCGGAGCCTGGTACGCGGAAGTATCCATAGCGATAGTATCTGGACTTTGGCGATGTGGAGATGAGGATATGAAGATAGCGCAATAACGATGTGGTGGTGTGCTGGAGTGTGACTGTGACTGTGAGTGGAGTGAAAGTGGTGTTTGGGTCAGCAAGGTGCGCGACTGCTCTAACCATGTCGATACGCTTCCGCGCTTTCCATCTTGTGTAACTTCCCTACTCTTTCCTAGCTTTACATTGGAAGGTGCCGTACCCAAACGAAATCAGGTCACATGCGACGATTAGAGTTTCCACAGCCTCGTATTAGCAGCCCGTTATTATTGACACAGCGCGTATCTGTTGGTAGGCCGTTGTACGATTGTACGGAGTGATGACAATAACTGCCCAGGTGGGTTCTTCTCGTGAGATGGTATATATTACTACCTAGGTATGCACGCGGACGCTAACAAGGTATACCCAAACTCGGCATACGCCGGGCCGAAGTAGGATCGAGGCGGTACTGAACAGCATTGGGTAATATCATGTGTGTGATACCGACCTCTAGATCATCCTCGGACGATCATGACAGCGCCTGGCAATAACAATAACATGTTCCTCTCCTCTGCCTGTAACTGAAGTAAGTCTCTACCTCTCTGAAATCTGTGATGCGTTACATACACTCGGTATACTGCCATTGACGTCGCATCGGGGAAACAAGTGGACATGCAACCTGCGTTCTGGCCTACAGAAGGTGATCATTCGTTAGTAAGTGACCACGAAAAGCGTGTACAAATGATTGCTTACACGCTCGGTTGTCTGCAGTAGAACAGCTCCACTCGTCTTTTGGGGTAAAGTCCCCATCTTTCAGGCACCAGTACGTAATATTGGCAGAGGCGAGTGAAGCAAACAGCATTGAGGTGATGATGGCGAACTTCATGATGGATAATCTTGGGATTCTGAGGAGTTTGTAATGAAGTGATTGTGGAATGTTGGGTAAGTATGAGATACTTTGGGGGGGACGACGGCCAGCTTTGTATTCCCTCGGGAAAGCACACAGGCTCCCTTCTCACCCATGGTATGTTGTACTATTTCAAGGAACTGCTCAGATAGAGTTTGAGCGTAAAATTTGGCCGGGGAACTCCTGGAAAGAGCTGTCAGATTGGCGCAAGGACTTGAGTTGCGTGCATCTCAATGCCCTGAAATTGGTATGGCGCGCTACGGGCTGTCAGACTGCTTAGCGTAGACCAACTATTTTGGATGATCTGGAACGCTGTTGACTTCGGCCCGTTGGTACCTGTGTGACCACAAGCATAGACAACATTCCGGAGTTGGGTCCGTCAATACAGGCCATGCCCAGGTGAACTTCTGTTTTCGTACACGATGTCTGGAACCAACAAAGCTACCTCTCAGTATGGGTAGTCATCGTATGGAAAGAGCAAGAAGCCGCACGCACCTATCAACTGGAAAAGCTACACTAGCAACTCTCACTATTCAAGAGTTTTCTCAAGCGACAACCTTAGGATGGCTACACCGACTTATGCGGCTCGTTGCAGACCGTGCATCGCATACAGAATACGGCGGCTGGTGATGCTGAGCAGTATCTCCACCTATCGTTCGTTGTCTTCGTGATGCCTAGATGTTTCCGTACATTGACAAGGGTCGCAATGTCGTAGCAGCTGATACGGACGGCATACTCATGCTAGAGATAGCCCGCGACGATCTATCAGCCCCCTTTTAATTCTCTTCATGTAGAATTTCATCTTCCTTGTATTCCAGGGTCGACATCGTGCCAAGAGTCTTTGCATACAATCAGCGGTGTAATCAGCTCTTCGTGCTCTTAACATTTCCTTCATCAATAAGTTACGAAAGTAGCGATCGTCGTAAGCAGCATGCACCTTCCTGGCAACTTCATGATCAAGTTGCGCTCTGGGCGTCTTAGCCGTCAGGTCGTTTAGCATATTTTGTCACAATGTGGAAAGTGCGACATGAGGCAAGAGCAGTTGCTGGCGACCAGAACTCCAGGAAACGCAGGCGCAAACGATATGGGGCAAGAACGCCCCAACCATGACAGCTTACTTAGGGACACACTGTCTTGTGTCTTGTCAACACCTCAAGGTCAGACACGGCGGATATCGCTGGGGTCCTATCGGTTGGGTAAATCTAGAGCACGTGAGCTCCTCCATAACGTCGCAATCACGACCCTTTGGGCTCTTCGATATCGCAGTTCGTTAAAATTCGTATTCGTACAATGGTATCACTCTTCGAAACCCATCCACTCGCCTATATCCTCGCCTTCGTCGCTGTCAACCATCTCTTCATCCGATATTCCGTTCTCTATCGCTTTGACCCCAAAGTCGAGTTGAGCGGACTTCTCTTTCTCCTCTGGCGGCTGCGCAAGCAGGTATTCGATGCGATAAATGTTCTCATCAGCCAGTCTTGCGAGCTCAGCCTGTATCCTGCGAACGGCTTTCTCGACACTTCTTAGCTCGGCCTCAAGTCCACCCTTGTTGTCCTTCATCCATCGACCATGCTTGCTGAGTAGTGCCTCGATCCACACCAGATTGAATTCCAGATGCGGAGACTCGTCGGCTTGGAGGGCGACAAATCGTAGTAACCGACCGAGGTATACTGATGGTAGGTCCTTGACTACTAAAGCGACGTTGCTCACGGGCGTAGCTTCGTATACGCGGCGAACAAGGTTGCGCTCGTTGAGACGGAAAGCCATGACCAGTGCCTTGAGATAGTCTTTCTGTGCGAGAGTCTCGAGAGTTGTCGCCGGTGTGACGGTGATGTCTAGATCGAAGGGATCGAATTGGAACGTGTTGTCCAGTGAGTAAATCAGCAGACCTTCTGTTGAAGCGGCACAAAACGCTCGGCCAGTTGGCGAAAACGCGACAGCAGGTACGCGTACTTCTGGTCGTGTTTTCCGTGCGCCAATGCCCTTTTGCGCACCAGGTAGTGTTGTGTCTCGACGGTCCTCTAGATCTGATGCCTCGCCTTGGTCATCGATGAGACCTTGCGGTCCAGCGTCTGTGAGCAGCTTGCTGTTGAGGAATTCTTGTGTGCCATCGAGAGAAAGGTTCACGGATACAGTGAACCTCTTCAGCAACACACCAGACTGCACATCGTAAAGACAGATGTACTTGGAGTTGCCGCCTGCCAATACACACGTGCCGTCTGCGCTGTACTTCACCGACGTAAAGGCTTTGGTGCCTGCGACGTTGGCTGCAGTGCGCCGATCTGACATCTTACGACCACCGGAAACGTCCCTTCGTGCATCAAGGCCATTTTCTTGTGCAGCATCAGATACGTTCCAGAACGTCAGTTGTCCATCAAGAGTTGTGACGGCTATTTGCTTCGAATCGGGGCGGAATGCGACAGATAGAATGTCAGCCATTAGTTGTAGCGGCTCGCTTGTTTGGGTGCGAGCGAAGATGTTCCAGACGCGAACAGTCCTGTCCCAACTTCCACTGACCAGCGTGCCAGCATCCGGAGAAAATGCTAGGGATGATACAGGGCCTTCGTGACCAGACAGCCTGTCGAGCAACTGGCCGGTCTGAACGGACCAAATGTGAATGTCGAAAGAGTCGATAGAGCCTGCGCATACGACCTCACCGCTTGGGTCAACCGCTAGGGACGAAAATGAAAGCCTCGATGGCGCTGTGAAAGTGCGGAAGTTGCGATACCGGTGGAGATCCCAAGCCCTGACGGAGCCATCAAGACTGGCTGTGAACAAGACGTTTCCCTTCTTCGCAAATTCGCAGGCCGTCACACCGCCCATATGTTCTGTGAATGTGACGACACAGAAACCGGAGTTGACTTCCCAGACTTTGATCTTGCCATCGTCTGCCGCTGTTATTATCCGTTGACCGTCTGGCGAGTATGCGATTGTGTTCATCGAGTCGAAGTGTCCCTGCTGCTTCAAAATGTACGATTCAGACTGCCATTCCCACACAAGTAGCTGGCCGAGCTTCGACGCGCCAAATGCTAACCATTCTCCAGTCTTGTTGATGGCGACGTAATCGATGTCGTTCTGCGAGATGCTGAGGCTAGAGATTTGCGCAAATTCTGGTAGCTCGTGGATGAAGAAGGCGCCGTGGGAAAAGCCTGTGACAAGCAGTTTCGACTCGGGATGGAAGCTGGCGCATGTGACTTGCGCATTGTTCTGATGGAAAAAGTGACGTTCTTGGATACCCCATTGTAGATTCTCGTCGTCGTCTGGGTCGGCGTCGGCGGGCGCATCGTAGCGTAGCATGTATTTCCAGACGAATAGCGCTCCATCCTTGCTGACTGTGTAAATGGTCTCCTGATCCTTGGAGAACCATGCGCCGACTACTTCCTGCCTGTGTCCACCCAGTGTTGTCTGCGCATGTCCTTCTGCTTGATCAACGCTCCATATCCGCGCTGTCATGTCTTTGGATGCGCTCAGGAAAAATCTTGAGTCGCTAGACCATTCTATGCTCTGGACTGAATTGTAGTGTCCTGTGTATATCCGGTGGCGCACGAAAGGCGCAAACTCAAGATCGCCTTCCGCAACGTCTGGAGTGGATGGTGTGTGCCATACTTCAATCTGCCTTCCTATGCCTACTGCAAAATGCCGGCCTGAAGGAGAGAAAGCGATCGAGTTGACTTCGCCGCGGAGAGAGAAATGGTAGAGTACGATGCGACGAGGAACATTGGTGAGGACTGCGCGACCGTCTTCATCGACCGAGAGGAGGAGGTTTCCGCGGGGGTTGAGGGCAAGGCGTGCGATGTTCTTCCGGTGCGCAAACGGAAGCGTGTATGATTTGGAGCTGACTAATGATCAGCGCATATCGAGAGAGGCAGTCGCGACTTGAAGCCTACCTCACAAGGTCGAAAACCGTGACCCGGTTACCAACCGGCGACAGCAGACATGTGCCATCGGGTGTGAAGAGAAGATTGCCTCTGCTGTAGACGGTGCCCAGCAGGTTGGAGAACTGTGGGTGTCAGATGCGAAGATTTGAACGACAGCACTCGACTCACCTGAAAGTCAGTCTTCATCTTCAAAGTATCGTGGCTGCGGTCTCGTCATGTCGTGGAGGGCATGATGGTCGCATCTTGAACTTTTTCGAAGCTCGGATCATCGCAGAACGCGCTAGTGGAGTAGTGTGCATTAGTCGCGGTTTCCCCGTTCAGGGTCAGTGCTTGCCGAATGGGCGACTGGCAGAAAGGGGACCCAAATTGTCTACCAACACCACACCTCCTCACCAGACCCCATATCGCACGCTGTTCAGCAACCTCACTGCTGACTTGCTTTTCATCCGCCACCTCCACGTATGTTTTCACGCCGCACTTCCCGAATATCAGCCCTCATATAGCTAACAGCACGCAGACCCCATACACACCAGCGGTCAACCACACACCAGCACAATGGCCGAGTCCGCGTCCCCCATTGGCATTGCCAATGTACGTATACCATCTGCTCCACCTATGTCTTCAATTCGTATACTAACATGCATTGCAGCTGCCCAACCAGAGGTACTATCAACACAGCGGACACGCAGCTTCGGCCCTAACGTAGCACAGGCACAAGATTGTTGCAAAGCGCGGTGCTGCCTTCACCATAATGGTACGCATATCATCCCCATATCAATCGACTTCAATCTAACTAGCTCAGGTTGCTGGCGAGTCTGGTCTCGGAAAGACGACCTTCATCAACACCCTCTTCTCCACCACCATCAAGAACTACGCCGACCACAAGCGACGACACCACAAGCAGATGGACAAGACCGTCGAGATTGAGATCACCAAGGCCGAGCTCGAGGAGAAGTTCTTCAAGGGTATGCAGCGCCATCCTGCTCTTCGTTCCCTATGCTAACTCATCTAGTCCGTCTTACCGTTATCGACACCCCCGGTTTCGGTGACTACGTCAACAACCGCGACTCGTGGCAACCCATCATCGAGTTCCTCGACGACCAGCATGAGTCGTACATGCTTCAGGAGCAACAACCGCGCCGCTCTGATAAGATCGATCTCCGTGTTCACGCCTGCCTGTACTTCATCCGCCCCACCGGCCACACCCTGAAGCCCCTGGACATTGAGGTCATGAAGAAGCTGTGCACACGCGTCAACTTGATCCCGGTTGTAGCCAAGGCCGACACACTGAGCCCAACAGACCTGGCCAAGTTCAAGGCGAGGGTAAGTTGTTCCATTTCTATGGCACCAGCAGATACTGACCGCTTTTAGGTGCGCCAAGTGATCGATGCTCAGGGCATCAAGATCTACACTCCCCCTCTCGAGGATGACGACGCCGCCGCCATGCAACACGCACGCGGTCTCATCGACGCCATGCCCTTCTCCGTCATCGGTTCCGAGAAGGATGTTCAGACCAACGACGGCCGCACCGTCAAGGGTCGCCAATACGCCTGGGGTGTTGCCGAAGTCGAGAACGAGGAGCACTGCGACTTCAAGAAGCTCCGCGCTATTCTCATCCGAACCCACATGCTCGACCTCATTCACACTACTGAGGAGAACCACTACGAGGCCTACCGCGCTGGCCAGATGGAGACAAGGAAGTTCGGCGAGGCGCGCCCAAGGAAGCTGGACAACCCCAAGTTCAAGGAGGAGGAAGAGGCGCTCCGCAAGCGTTTCACCGAGCAGGTCAAGGTTGAGGAGCAGCGCTTCAGGCAGTGGGAGCAGAAGCTTATTGCTGAGCGTGACCGCCTCAACAAGGACCTCGAGGCCAGCCACGCGGAGATCAAGCGTCTTGAGACGGAAGTGGACAGCCTCCAGGGTAGCATCAACCGCTCTCACGGTCGTCGCTAGACGCACCTTTTGGCGTTGGTGGTGTTGCACGTACAGAGATGGTGCAGCGATTCAGCATGGTCGCACTAATTCTCCACATTCTTCCTTCAAGATTCCCCTTTCTGTTTCCGTAACTTCGGTTCTCATATGTCTGTAATGTCGCGCCGCCGTGGGGATCACTGTAGGCGACGCGTATCTAGGCTTGAGCTAAAACAGCATGTCATAGCTTATAGTTCTATAACTTGGTATTAATCTATTATGAAGACCGCTGGTCGCTAAATCTTGTTGTTGGGTATAGTGATGTTCAGATATGATGTTTAGACTTGTAATCCGCCAAACACCCTATCCAGCTCCTCGCCTTCCTGTGCCTTGCGCTCCGCCTGCGGATCTAGATCCATGAGATTCTGCTCCGGCACCTTTTCTTCCTTGACCGACTCATTATTATCGCCAGGTCCCTCCGGCTTGATGATATGCACACCACTATCCAACCACCCAGGCGCAACCCGCCTCTTCTCCGCGAGGTCCTCCTTCCGCCGCCTCTCCTCCCACTCCGCCAACGTTCTCCTCGCGTCCGCTTCTAGCTTAGCAAGGTGCTCTTGTAACGCGACACACGACGTGAGTATCTGGTCTGGATGCGCTGATGTGCCCGTTGACGAGGTGACATATGCTGGTTTCGACGCAGAGGCGTTGGGGTTGGACGGGTCTTGTTGTTGCTGCTGTTGGGAGAGGATCGAGGGAGGTAGCGTCGACGGGAGGGTTACGTAGGAGTATGGCAAGGGGACGGATGTGGGGAGGGAGAGGAAGGGCGAGAGTGTTAGGGGAACTTGGGCGAGGAGAGGGTGGGGGTCTGTGGGAGTGGTGTTAGTGAGGTTCGCGCTTGTTGTGTTGGGCTGGGTGGAGGGATGCGATGCGATGCGATGCGACGGGTAGCCACACTCCAGAGCGAGCATGTCTGGATGAGACGATGCCGAGGTCGCTAGTGATCTCTCGACATGCTCTCACGCGATACCCTGGTATTGAAACTATGACTGGTCGCATGTACTGGCTATGCGCGTGCATCGCGCTGGGCGTGTATTGTAGCGGGGAAGAGGAGCACTCACGTTCGTCGTGCATATTCGATATGGCTATTTGCGTATGATAAGTTCCGTTAATTATTGCCAGAGTAGCAGTAGCAGAGCGTTTGATCGATTTCGTCCGAGTACGGTGGGGCGTAACTTTGCGGGATTGTTGTTGCAGGGCTTGGGGTTGTGGAGGCACGAGGTGTTGGTGGGGAAGCTCCAGGCTGAGTGGAGCTGCTGACGCAGGTACGAAGTTCCAAGGTTCCACGGCTCCAAGGTTGGAAGCTGCGATCACGCGTTATGCATGTGAGGTAGATACAGACAGATTGTTTGTGGGGTGCATACACGAAGACGATTATGGGGACTGCCTCATTTTGTGGGTTGATGGGCAAGTCACCCTGGTGGCATTTCGAGCGGTTCTTGGGAGTGATAATATCAATTTACGTAGCGACTACCCTTTCAATACAATTGCATTTGTGTTGTACTGTGTATATACTTGATGAAAGAAGAAGAGGGCAACTGTGCGTATGTGCGCGAGAATGTCACCTATATCCGCCTACCTGATCTTCGCAGAGCAAGTGAATGGCCTCGGGCCGGGAATTGTGTAGCTGGTCGGGATCGGCCAGTACAGTTGAAACTTAATACCCGGGTCAGTCGCTTTGTATGCACCTGGGAAGCTGACGGTCGCCGGACTGGCACTGCCACCTCCTGTCACGTTGATTTGAGCACACTCCATGTAGAGTTGAGCGCCAGGGTAGTTTGAGGCGGCGTGAAGAGCAATGAGCTCTGCGCGGAGGAGATACCTAGAAAGGACCGTGTCAATCGAAAATAGAGATTCACCAAGAAGTTAGAGATGACTGACTGTCCACTGGGGATGCACGACGGCAGTACAAAGTCCACCAGGCCCTTATTGTTATAGAGTCTCGTAACAGCCCACTCGCCATTGGCATCCATACCATCCTCGTAAATCTTGAACCACTTGAGTCCCGTCACTTTGGTAGACAAAGCATCATCGACTTTGGCAAGGTAGACCATGATGGGACCCAAATGACCGGGGTCAATTGGGTCTGACTTGTCCGTCTCGGGCTTGGAATCGAGCGTGTGGTGCCACTCGGCAGTGAGCTTGTCCCCAGCTTTGACCTGACAAGGTGTAAGCCGAAGCCATGTGGCGTACTTGCTTATTGCACAACCAGCGTACATTGATGATGTCTTTGGGGAGAGGCGTTCTGTAGGGGTTTATGCTGAATGCGGGTCAATCTAGCGCTTGCCTCCACGCTTTGTAATGCTTTACCCGCCATTACAGATCACATCGTTTGATGTAACGTCCGTTATTGGTCTGAGTTCGTAAGTAAGTTGGAGTTCAGAAGGCGATTGTGGGGTGCATTACCCGTCGTAGGTCTGTGTCGTGCTGTTAGCAGGGGAGCAACATGGGAATCGTGAACATGCTCACCGGCACTCGAATACCCTTAGTATGTCCTTGCGCCACGCCATTGACATGTAGCTGGGTGAAAATTGTGTGTGCCGAAGCGCTGGCCAGTAAAGCACAAGTAACCACGTATGCCTTCATCATGTAGGCTACTACGTTAGATCATGAATGCCCTCATCAACGCGACGATGAATCTTCCTATATGCCATCGTGGTGCACCGTTCTCAAGCTGTCCGAATGGAACACGGCACTATTGTTCAAATCTGGTCGACCTTCCAGTTCGGCACGCATGCGACTCGCGGTGGACTCGCGTGATCAGAGACACTTTATTCCCCAATCTATTTCGCCCGCCGTAACGCATTTCTGAAAATATACTGTGTATGCACGAGACACGTGCTTCGTGGATTTCTCAGCGCATAGAACCCTCGGCATATACCAAATAGGTAATGAGCACCAATGCGGTCGTGACTGCGCGTGCTTTGAACCGGCGGTTGGGTGGAAGAACCGCAGTATTAATTACAGGGAGGAGGATATGACCGAGACATGCCGCGACACCGTGGCGCGGCTCTTGGAATGTGGGAAGCGAGAGAAGGAATGCGTAATATAATAGATTGTGTGTTACTGGTCTGGTCGAGTGTTTCAATCAATGAAACGTGCGCATCTTGTCGGTCAGCGAGAAGGCTTGGAAGCCGTCCTTCATTTTGAGGCAGCCTTGCGGAATATGCGGGAAGAAGCCGGTACCGAGAAGGCTGTGGCGGTTGCACGAGGTCAAGGGCACTGACTTCTTAATCCTTCCGACGAAGCTGGTGGTGCAGATGGTGCATTTGAAGAGGCTGATGCGAGGCGAAAGCGCGAAGGTGACGGTCCATCCCACCAGCCACTAAACGATTGTGGGGAAGCCTGGGCCCGAACGGGTAAGGGGCACATGGCTAACGGCGATTAAAGTCGCCATCCCGGCTGCTGTCAATCTACATCAATCAATCCACCCATGCCGCCGTAGTTTCGACATATTAACGACTAACCTTGAATCTCGGCCAGATCACCTACGTTTTGAAACAGCCAATGACAATGTCGCCCACGGTAATCACGCCCCTCGGTTGGCTCATCCTAGCCAGCGCGCGTCGTCCGTACCTGGTTCAACGCGCACTTCTGCCGCCTCCAGAAGGAAGTTCCCCAGGTAGTGGCTTGGCCACGGGTGTCAACCCCATACACGGCGGCGTAGTCTAGCATAAAGTTGATATGTATATAACACGTCCGCACCCTGGCAGAGTGATAGAGGCCACAGCTACAACTTGCGCTTGTCAATTCATCTCATCTTCGACGTGCTGGTAACAAGTCTCCAAGATGAAGACCTCTTCTTTCGTTCGAGCGGCATCGCTGCTATCCTCTCTTTTCGCCCCTCTCGCTCTTGCGCAGGAAACGTTCACCCACGAAGGCACCGGTATCGAGTTCTGGCGCCAGACAGTCAGTGACGCTCAGACTGCAGGTGGTTTCGAGTGGGGTTGGGTGCTGCCTGGAGAGCCTACTGGAGCCAACGACGAGTACATTGGTTATATTGTAAGTTATAACAAGTCTGTGTCGACACTGCAGCCGCTAATATTCCCCAGAAAGGTTCGCTCGAAGCAAACAGGCAGGGATGGTCCGGTGTCAGCCATGCTGGTGGCATGCCAAACTCCCTTCTGCTCGTCGCATGGCCGGAAGAAGATGCCGTCAAGACCAAGTTTGTTTGGGCAGGTGGTTATGTCGCTCCTGAGGACTACACTGGCAATGCCACTTTGACTCAAATCTTCCACTCTGTCACCGACACACACTTCGAGATCGTCTACCGATGCGAGCACTGCTGGGTCTGGAATCAGGGCGGTGCTGAGGGCTCTCAACTTCCCACTACTGAAGTTAACGTTATCGGTTGGGCTCAGCATGACAAGATCTACGACGGCACTTGGGTTTTCCACAACAAGGGACAGTCTCAGTTCGGCGCCCCTACCGCGGATGCGAGGAACGCGAAGTACACCGACTACCTCAAGCTGGTAGGTGGCCAGCCTTCTGGCGCACCTACACCAACCAAATCCGGTCAGCCATCAGCTACACCCACTCCAACAGCACCTGTCAAGTGCCAGGGATCACCTGCTCCTTCAGGCTCCTTCGACTACATCGTCATTGGCGGTGGTGCTGGAGGTATTCCTGTAGCGGATAAGCTTTCTGAGTCCGGCAAGAGTGTTCTTATGCTCGAGAAGGGCCCGCCATCTCTCGCCCGTTTCGGCGGAAAGATGGGCCCTGACTGGGTCACTAGCAACAACCTGACCCGCTTCGACGTTCCCGGTCTTTGCAACCAGATCTGGGTTGACTCTGCTGGTGTTGCTTGCACTGACATTGACCAAATGGCTGGCTGTGTTCTCGGTGGAGGTGCTGCTGTCAACGCTGCGCTTTGGTGGAAGCCTGTTGACATTGACTTCGACTACCAGTTCCCGAACGGCTGGAAGTCAGCTGACGTCAAGGGCGCAATCGACCGTGTCTTCAAGCGCATCCCGGGTACCGACACTCCTTCCGTCGACGGAAAGCGCTACAAGCAGGAAGGCTTCGATGTCCTATCCGGTGCGCTTGGTGCAGACGGCTGGAAGAGCGTCGTCGCGAACGACCAACAGAACCAGAAGAACCGCACATACTCTCACTCTCCTTTCATGTACAGCAACGGTCAGAGGCAAGGTCCTCTTGGCACCTACATGGTCTCTGCCCTTGAGAGGAAGAACTTCAAGCTGTGGACCAACACCATGGCCCGCCGTATCGTTCGCACCGGTGACACTGCTACTGGCGTTGAGCTTGAGAGCGGTGTTGGCGGTACTGGCTACTGCGGTACGGTCAACCTGAACCCTGGAGGCCGTGTCATTGTTTCCGGTGGAGCTTTCGGATCCTCCAAGGTTCTCTTCCGCAGCGGCATTGGACCAAAAGACCAGCTGAGCATCGTCAAGAACAGTGCCCTCGATGGCTCAACCATGATCAACGAGTCTGATTGGATCAACCTTCCCGTTGGCCAGAACTTGAACGACCACGTCAACACCGACCTTGTTATCAAGCACCCCAACATCTCCTTCTACGACTTCTACAAGGCGTGGGATGCTCCCATCGAGAGCGACAAGGATCTTTACCTTTCCAAGCGCTCTGGTATTCTTGCTCAGTCTGCACCCAACATTGGCCCCCTCGCTTGGGAAGTGATCAAGGGAAGTGATGGCATTGACCGATCGATCCAATGGACTGCTCGTGTTGAAGGCCCCGGTGCCAACGACACCCACCACCTCACCATCAGTCAGTACCTTGGCCACGGCTCTACCTCGCGTGGTGCGCTCTCCATCAACGGTGCTCTCAACGTCTACGTCAGCAAGGCGCCCTACTTGCAAAACGAGGCCGACACCGGTGTTGTTGTTGCCGGTATCAAGAGCATGATGAAGGCTATCCAGAAGAACCCGATGATCGAGTTCCAGGTACCATCACCCAACATGACGGTTGAGGCATACGTTGCCAGCCTTCCCAAGACACCAGCTGCCCGTCGCGCCAACCACTGGATCGGAACCGCGAAGATCGGAACCGACAGCGGTCTTACTGGCGGAACAGCCGTCGTGGATCTGAACACTCAGGTGTACGGAACGAAGAACATCCACGTCGTCGACGCGTCTCTCTTCCCTGGGTAAGCTCACCCTCAATATCACATGTCATCCTCGAACTAACATGGCGTAGTCACATCTTCACCAACCCTACATCTTACATTGTCGTTCTCGCAGAACATGCTGCTGCCAAGATCCTTGCGCTTGGTGCAAGCAGTGGAGGTGGTAAGCCTTCGTCGTCCGCTCCGTCATCCGCCAGTACCGCTAAGCCCTCATCTTCCAAGGCGCCGACTAGTTCGTCAGCTGCCCCTGTCAAGCCTTCGTCAACACCAGGAAAGTCATCGGCTGCGCCGACCAAGACATCTGCAGCACCATCAGCTACTCCTACCAAGACGGCAAACGCCTGGGAACAGTAAGTAGACCAAAAGCTTCCATGCATTGAACAAGTACTAACTTCATATCAGATGCGGCGGTCAAGGCTACACTGGACCGACAGCTTGTGTCAGCGGATACAAGTGCGCAGTGAACAACACATGGTTCTCTCAGTGCGTCCCTAAATAGGGGACACACATTCATCTCCTACCCCGGTCTTGACATTCGATACATCTGGGGTGTCTTCTTTGTACATACTTTAGCTTCAGTGTATATCACTCGCTCATCCTGCAACTTCGTGTCTTGAATGCCTCGCCTGATCTCGTGAGCTGATGAATTCCGCAGCATGCCTGGGAGCCGAGGTGGCAGACGCGTGACGAATGCGGCATAGCGCGTCTCTTATCGCGCCCCGCATCTATCGACCTTCCATCACAACTTGCCAACCATCTCATCCCAACTTTCTTTTGCTTTGCCAATACATTTCTTATCGCGTAGTATTCCTGAATCTTACGTGACTTGGGTATTGCATACTTTTTGGCTCCTCTACACGTACATGATGCCATCCAACTGCCCAGCCACCTCTGCCAAGCGCGACGATGACGCGTCGAGAAACGTGACGGAACTACTCCATCAACGGCTTCAAAGCAGCCCTAAAGATGACTGGGGACGATTGTTCGAGTGCTGGGGCTATGATGATTGTGGCGACTGTCATCGAAGTAAAGGCCATTGCGGGTGGTGTGCGATTGTATGTTCACATCTCCTTAGTCGACTTGTCATGCATTCACCCCTAGGAAACCGCGGACTATCACTAACGCACTTTAACAGTCCTCGACGTGCCTTCCCTTGCCTACGGATGCTTTGTCAAAAGCTTTTCCTCTCCTTTCGCCCATTCGCTACGACTCGATATGCGCTTTACCATCTGAGCGCTTCGAGCTGCGTACCTCGGGGTTGGGCTGTCAAGTGTCTACAATCACTTTCTTGACGTCTATCGTGACTATCTTCTGTACGCTCTTTGGTGTTATGGTGCTGTACAGTCTTGCAAAGTGTATTAAGTGGGTTGGCTTTGGTGCAAAGGCAAGCAGAGGCGGCTACGCGCTCTATGAGGATGGAACGGAGGATGTATGGGTGAGAAGAGGCGAAAGTTGGGGGAAGTGGTGGCGAAGAGTGAATGGCGAGCAGAAAGAATTCGAGGTTGAAGAGGTGGATGAAGGGACGCGTAAGAGAGGCTTTTTCTTGTGGAATACGAGGGATGCAGAGAGAAGGCCGTTGCTTGAGTGATGGGCTATAAAGCTGATCATTTGGCCTACGTTGAACGACACTGGCATACTGGTGGCTCATTCATTTCTGCGCTTCGGCTATCTGCGTCACCATCGCCTGCTCGACACTCACTCGCCCCTCACCTCCGCGTCTGCCTTCCCGAATACGTCATTGCCCAGAAACGTCCGATCTTTTACTTCCCGTCGTTGAGCGATATCACCTGCTCTCACCCAGATCCACGTCCGAGCTCTCACGCACTAAGGCCCTATAAACAAGCTCTCCTCCGACCAGCTTTTTTCCTCCACCGTACTCCTCCACTGTAAACCCCGACAACACTGCGGTACCTTACCCCCAAACAACTTTTCTTCAATTCACAACTACGAAGATTCTACAGCAAGTTACTCCACTAGACATGTACCGGATGCGCCAACGCGGACGTTACGGTCGAGCTAATCCGATGAGGATGCCCGGCTCCTTCAGTGACAGCGATAGCGGCGATCAATTCAGTCCCGCTGCTCACACCCCGCCAAGCTCTGACGAGTACCCATCGCCTTCCAGCAGGACGTCTCCCAAGGTCAACACCGCTGGTCTTCGACCACTCCAGGAAATCGCTGAAGAGGCTAACATGTGTGCGGCGTCCCAGCTTGCGTTCGATAACGACGATGAGGCCTTGGCTCAACTCGAAGCTCGGATCGAAGAACTCAACGCTGAGTATGAGCAAGTCCTGGAGGGCCAACCTGGTAAGGACAAAGAACACGGCCCTGCGGACGCTTACAGCAATGAGCGCGAAGAACACGATGAGCAAGATCCCGCTGGACACGGCGCACAAGGCCGCAACGGACCCGCCGGACTCCGAGGGCTTGTTGACGCCCACGAGATGGCAGTGAAGAAGTCTATTGACAGGGCCCGTAACATGATCGGAGCGTTCCCCTCAGCCGTCGATCTTTTCCCCGTGTACGGCAACATGCGCTCCACGGTTCAGCACCCCATCCAAGTCGCGGGAGGTATGATTGGTCACACTCCAACGGCCTACATGAAGCATCGACGTCAGTTTAAGGCACATTCACGATCGCATACCGACACTGCTTCTCCTCGCTCGGCGGAAGTCAAGGCTTCTCCTTCTGCTACACGCGCTGATGATGAGGGTGAAGAGCAGTCCATGAAGAAGAAGTGGAGTACTGTTAAGGTCAAGTCTGGAGATGATGATGGCACCAGTCCCACTGCAGACCGACCAAACCTCCATTCGACATTTTTCGACACTTTTGTCTGGCCGACTGAGCTGTCCACGACATCGTCCCATGCTCGCGCTGCAACGAGGGCATCTAGGTCACCGCTTCCTGAGCTCAGGACTTTCGAGGACGTTCACCGCCAGATCCGCGAGCAGGATATCGAAACTACCCTGAACGCCGACAATATGGCTGCTCTACATTGGGTTAAACGCGAACTTGCTCCTGTTGCTTCGTCGAGCGGCCCTGCAGCCCAAAAGCCTGAGTCCGCTACTTCGCTTCTAGACCACACGCACCCAAAGAAGAACGCACCTAGCCAGTCATCGCTAGAGGCACTTTGCGGTGTCCACACGGGTCAAGATCACAGTGTCGGCTGTATTACCCTCAAGGAAGGTATCTCACCCATCGATCTTCTGCATCTTCTAGATAACTCCGACATTTCCGATATCGAGTTCGAGATCGAAGACGACTCTGCCGAGGTCAAGAACGGCGACGCGACTGTCGGAACTACTACTTTGGAGCCGCGTAAATTCGTTCCGACTGTTGCGGAACATAAGAAGCAGGCTGGCGTATCAGTTGAAGGTCTCAACTATGCTCTCAGTACAGATGGAGAAGATTACAGTGACTCTGACGACGATTCAGTTCCCAACGAAGCCCGTAAAGATGTTCACCCAAAGAAGCCTTCTAATGTCGAGGTCGTTGCCGGCTCTGCTTCTGCTGACAGTACCGCCGCACCGGACGACGCTATGGTAGACGAGTTTCTGGACTTCACTGCCAACGCCTTCTCGCGTGATGAAGTCTTCGAGATCCTTCGTATGTGTGGCGCGAATTTAGTTGTTGCTGTCTCCATGTACCGCAACGCCCGCAGTCTTGATCATATCCGACAGATGCTGAGGGCTTGGCTTGCGCCGCTTGAGAACGGTGGTTTGGGCGACATGGACCGCCAGTCCGTTCAAGACGGCGAAGTGAACATTTTACAGTTCAGTAACCCCTCACAAGTCTTCACACCTCTTCACAACGCTGAGCCTACTGGAACAACGCTGAGTGTGCGAGATGCCTACAAAACGCTCGGTCTGGAGGCCTATCACTCTGTCGACCGTGCCACACTTGATGACAGCCTTCATTCAAAGCTGATACAGTGCGGGTCAGCCAAATCTGTGTTCCGATCTCAACAGCTGGTGCTTCAGGCTTATACCGACATTACCAAGCATCAGAATGACAACGACTGTTGGGAGCTATCTCCTCTGTGTATCGAGTGGACTGAAGAGACGGACGAAAAGCTCATCCGATGGAAGACTGAAGACGTCAAGATTACTTGGACTGCCATCGCTGGAGCCTTGGGTATGACCGTGAAAGAGTGCAAGGACCGTTTCAAGGTACTCCGACCCTCGAAGGGCAAGGCGAATTCTACAAAGGAAGACAAGTCCAAGAAGCAGCAGGATACTGTCAAGGAAAAGATCGATGCTGTTCACGCCACCTCCCCTGCGCTTGGTGACAACTATGGCGGCCTAGATGAAGCCTGGGATGCTCCACTTGTCTGTACGCGTTGTGGAATGCATTGGTGTGACTGCACATTCAACACTGATGGCAACCGTGCTGAGCAGACAGCCCCTGGCCTCGCGACCGGTAACGACGTACACTGGGGATCTTTTTTCCCAGGCCCACAGAGCTCAGGAGACGACGCATGGGCTTCCATTCGCAACCCTGACGATTCCAACAAAGCTCCCGAACCGGAAGCTTCTGCATCTACTGACTATACCGTCACCTACTGGGCCACCGTCGAGTCTGGCGACAAGACTGTTCACATTCCCATCAATAGCAGCGACGTCTCCGGTCCCGAGAAGAACATCATCGAGAGCAGCAGTGGTATGAAGAAGATCTGGAAGTGGGCTCAAGACAAAGGTCTCGCCGACAAGATCAGCCTTCAAGACGCTTTCGATCTCGCCAAGGATATGCACTGCAAGGAAGAAATCGACCAGCCAGTCGTTGAGGAGCCTCAGCGTGCTACAGATGCCCCACGTGCTACCAGCTACAGTCGTAGCCCCAGCCGTAGCCGTAGCCCATATCCACGACGGGCTGCTCCCGCTGTAGGTCTCCTCGGTGTGGACTACATTTACCCCAACCCCCCGTATGTTCGCCCGATGACCTCTGCGATGACCTCTCCGAGGTCCTCTCAGATGAGTTCGTTCCGTCCAGTGCACGAGGAGACATGTGATGGGTGCGACGCATGGTCTTGTTATTAGCCTTTTTGGCTTGACGTCTTTCACGGCGTGGAGTCTTCTATCTCGTGTTTCATGGATTCAGGAGTGATTCTCCGCTCGATGGCCTTGCTTTATTTGTCCTTTTCTTAATTATGGGATTGCGCATATGATCGAGATCACGGTAAAAGGTCATTGGCTTACAGGCCTATAGGATGTTTGCGACAGGCAAGTTTACCGTCAAAATGGGTAGTACGGATAGGTGCACTGCTTAGTGCTATGAACGTGTAAAATATTTGTAACCTTGTCTCTTACGTGCAGTGATATCACTAAGCCCAGCATTGAACCCTTGAGACATGAAGATATCTTCGACACTAATATCCGCTCGTACCAGGAGTTTGGCTAAAGCGGGCGGCGGAGTAGCTTGGGATGGCCGTGTGGTTGATGAAGAGTCGTTCATGATGCCGACCTGCCCCACACTCTATCCGTAGATTAACGTCCATGCAGGTCCATCCGCAACGCACCCATGTACGAGCATGGTATCCCAGATTATTTTTGACGGCAGTTCGCATCATTGAAAAGTTGTGATGCCATAAAGCCGATGAAGATACGAAGAACAACACTACTACCCCCCAATTGACTCTGCATTGTTGTTCAATTGCAAACATCGTCATCTCTCACCATGCGCCCGTCAACCCTCCTCAGCGCTACAGCGCTCCTCCCCCTCGCAATGAGCGCCTGCGAACGCGAATTCCTCGCCGCATTCACATCCCTCTACCTCTCCGCCCAAACCATCGGCAACTCCACGCTCCTCACAAACTACATGCTCCAAAACTTCACCTACACGGAGAACTTCAAGCCCGCAAATCTCTCCGCCGCAACATCCATCATCAACACGCCCCTCAACAGCACCAACTCGCGCGTCTTCCTAGACCCGTATCTCTGCAGCGCGTTCACTGAGATCATCGTGGCAGATTCAAGCCATCCGTATGTTCTCGGTGCGCGCGTGGAGGGCAACGGCAAGTTTGTGACGAAGATGGAGACGCTGGTTAGTGATGAGGGGGATTGGCTGTTCAATGCTACTGGGACGGCGTACTGGAATGAGATGCAGGATTGGGCGCCTATACCGCTTGCGGATCAAGATACCCGCGCGGTTATCAAGGCGGCTGGTGATGCGTACTTCGACCGCTTCGGTAATGTCAACGTTACTATTCCGTTTGGTACGCCTTGCGCCAGGCTTGAGGGAGGTGCGTATACTGATACGAGCATGACGAATGGTGAGACCTGCTCTTTGGGTTTGCCAAGTACGGTTTATGTGCAGGATCGCCGGTATGTGGTTGACGTCGAGATGGGGAGTGTGAATATCTATGTGGGATTCCCGGGGCTGGACAGGGTGAGTAAGACGCCCGCGCCGGATAGCCATACTTTCCGCGTCGAGAAGGGGAAGATTCGGTATGTGCATACCATCTCGACTTGTGAGAGTTTCGGGTGTGGATTGAACGGGACCTATATACCGATCGGCGGCGGCAAGAAGATGGCGAGAGGTATTGCTGCACCGAGGCTTCGAAAGACGAGACGCGCCTTGTAGAAAGATGGTGAATTGGTAAATACGCTTTCTTGTAGCATGTGTTGCTCATTCTGCTATTCTATACTCGTACCTTCAGGTTCAACCCTGTGATACTCCACCGTCCCACAACCAATATACAACTTCCTAGCAACACCGCAGTTCCCGCAAAGATCTGCGCACTGAGATATCCTCCACCATTGCTTTGTATCAATGCTCCTGCGATTGGTGGTCCAATGAAAGTACCCAGCCCTACGATAGCAAGTCCCTGGCCATTCCTCGTGCCTACTTTACTCATGTCCTTTGTCAGCGTAGTCATCACAGCCGGGAAGATACCCTGAAACCCCGAGACGAAGAAACCATAGCACACCGCCCAAGCGTAAAGGCTGGGCTCGCTGTTGACTAGAGGCCAGAAGTATAGTACAAAAGCGGAGACAAAGCAAAAGGGTATTAGGATATTGTAAGGCCCGGTATACTTGTCGGCGAAATAGGATGGTACGATACGACCAAGAACACCGACACCGTTCAGTACTAGCAGGATGTTGATGGAGGTTGCGTATGGTAGACTAAGGATGTCGATCGCGAACGACGAGATGTAGTAGAAGGCGAAGTACTGCCCAAGGGCAATGAGGAAAACTCCCATCAGGAATACACTATAAGGCATTTCTCTGAACGCGCTGAGTTCGAGCACTGGGCCAGACTTCCGCGGAGGTAGTCGTGGTTTCAGTAGCGAGCTGTAACATATCCCCACAGCTAACATCATGAAAGCCATCACCCTGACAGTCCATGGGAAACCAATTCGGGGAACTAGCTGTCGTGCGATCGTTGGGTAGACGAGACCACCCGTCGCACTGCCGCTGGCCATGATTGCGAGTGCCACGCTCCGATTCTTCGCAAAGTATGTGCTGACAAGTCCCAGAACAGGCGCAAACTGCATCCCGTTCCCAACTCCATTCATTACACCTTGCGCAAGGAAGATCTGCCAGTACTTCGTGCACAGACTGGTCATGAACATGCCGAGGCAGGAAACGAGCATGCCAGGTATCACGGACCAGTAGAAGTATCCCGCATCGAAAAGACGCCCGGTCAACATGCCCAGCGAAAAGTGACCCAGCATCTGGAAGCTTCCGATCCAGGATACGGCCGATGGTTCAAGACCCAGGTCGAGCGTGTAATACTGTTGGAAGACGCCGAATGTCGCAATCATCCCCCACGTGTTGAAGATAACGAAGTGGCCCATGAATGCCTGCACCCAAGCTTTGGCACCCCCATCGGGCGGTGGTCCAGGGTCGATGACGGATGCATTCGAACGAGCGGTAATCGTCTTAGCCAGTCCGATTACCGACTTCTTGGTACGAGACGTATGAGATGCGTGTGTTGGTATTCTTTCGATCTCCTCCTCTTCGTGCCGGGATGCGGGTCTTGATGGAACCCTTATTGAGGCGTACGACGCGTCATGATGGCGTTCGTGATGGCGTTCGGTATGCGCTTCTCCGAACTCCGATATCGTGGCTTTCTCCACATCGCGGTTGGCACTCATCTCGATGGACTGGAAGGGATGTCGTCAGTAGCCTGAATTGATAAGGAAGATAGAAGACTACGGCTTCGAAGAAGTGGTGTGGCTGGTGTGCGGGTATACGAAAGAAGCGCATCCTTCGGTGTTTTATCCGACGGTCAACCATCTTTTCGACTCATCGTCCCCACTCTCCGGCCGCGGAGGCTAATTGAGATCCGATGCCATCTTGAGCTTGGTTGTTGGATCTGTATGCATGCTGCACGCAGGATGTCCAATTGCGAAGCTTTGCCTGGAGATATGGGGAAAGCTTGTGGCTGCTTCCCCAAAATTTCGGCAATAACACCGCGCTGGTAAGCTTCGCGCTAAACCAAATTGGTAGTTATCTCGTCGATCACTGGCCCCGGGGAGTCGCGCCCTACAAGTGCCACCAAGTACTGTCGCACGGCACGATATTCTACACCATAATCATGGAGAACTTGATCTAGATAATCATTCTGCGAATACATTACTTCAAAACTAAGTCCCATCGGCTCATGCAGCGGCAACACGTGGTGACCTCGATGAAACCTACTTTCGCCACCATTTGCGCCACCTAGCCATCTGCATCGCATTCTCGCCGTTAGACAACTAATTCGCAAAATTCGGGGAATTGGCGCGCGTTGTGGTCGGTGTAAGAAGGGCTTCACTATCTAGTCTTCAAGTCAGCAACCATCATGAGCGGAAGCGCTGCGACATACCAGTCTGAGATTCGGCCACAGTTTGTACCGACACTGCATCGTCTTCGTTGTGACTTCTGCAGTTTCCAGCCTTCACTTGAGATCGATCAAAGCTTTTAGCATAGAGACGTTCTTCGAGATTCTCGCACATCCACCTTGCAGTGAAGAGCACCTCTTTGAAATGAGTCTGAAACCCCGAATCGTAGAGGCCTGGAACGCTTCTGTGCCATTTATCGTAAAGTGCAATTATGTCCCTATTGATAACAAGGCCGTTCTCTCCCGTGTTCAAATATGAAGATCGAAATGTCGGAAAGGGCGTTAGGTATGTAGTCAGATAGCTGGTACCAAAACCACCGCTTGCATTTCTTGAGATCCATGTGTTGGCATTGTTGAGAACAGAAATAAATCTCTCATCAAGTCTGGATCCGATCTCGACAACAAGGGGCCATTCGTGCTCTTGGAGTCCTTCTCTTTCGATATCCCTCAACAGATCATACGCTTCCTGGAGGACAGGAATGGAATTCGGTTCGCCGTCGAAACGGCATCGGGCGACCCGTGAGTCTGCGTCGTCGATAATCACTCTACATGCCTCGACAGTGTTGTAGCATATGATACGATACGCTGGTCGCTGGGAATGCGCGCCGTTCTTAGTAGGCATTTTGGGGATTGAATGAGATCGGACGATTGATTCAGTCGTTTGCTGTTGCGGAACATGGCCTGGGACACATCAAAAGTATTTAAGTCACCAGCCGTTGATCATTCGTTTGTTTCAGGATAAGAAAAAAACTTAATTACTAGCTTTGAGCGCCAACCGGAACTCCTCTGTAGCCGGATTCCGTTCCATGGTCCATCGCCGGTCCCTGTCGAGCACAACCTTGGAAGTCGGCTACAGCTCATGCGGCTTGGTCTATTACGGTTATTTGATCAGATCGAGTGGAGTGCTTGCTCTCTCAAGGATGTTGACAGAAGTTTAGGCGGTGTTGCGGTGGATCAGGCGAAACGATGTTTCGCGAGAGGGACTGTCTATGATGGATGACATTTCGTGGATACAGCTGTTCCGGGTGCTGGGAAGGAAAGCTCTTATTTGGAAGTTTAGAGCACCAAGTCGCCCAAGCTCAATCAAACGGAGGGGAAAAAAAGAAGTTTGATAGAAGAAGTGAGTTGAAGCTATGGCGGGGATGCCCTGACGGCGGAGAACGCGTAGGGCTCGGTATCAGTAAGAAAGTTTCTTATCACAAACAGGGCCAATTAGTGAAGTCTTCCGGAGGTGATTCCGATGCGGAAATAAATCCATAAGCATGTCTTCATATGGTCTTGTTGGACCCCTCTCTTACCGTGTGCGGTCCCGCAGTCCATCATCACGAACCTCTAGGTGGGATCAAAGGAAGATCTCGTGGACAGTGGAAGCTAGAAAGCTGCATCTATGGTATACTGGTCATTCTTACCCGCCGAAGCAGTAGACGCATACCCAAATCCATTTCAGTCGGCGTAATACGCCTCACCTAATGTAACTTTGACATTAGTAGCTATACCACGCTATCTCATGCCTTCAGATGCTCCTCAAACAACTTCTTCTGCTTCTCCCACTCCTTCTTAAGCTTCTTCACCCTCCCCTTAGCCACATCAGCACCATCCTTATCTTTGGTCGGCAAGCCATCCTCATCCCAAGCACTGTACTCCTCAGTCCTGAACATATCCTTCGGATTGATCTTAGCTTGTTCCGCAAGCTTAGCCTTCTTCTCGGCCTCCTCACGTTCGCGCTTGAGCTTAGCTTCGGCCTTTTGGCGAGCAATCTCCTCTTTCTGTGAACGAGCGGCTTGAAGTTCGGCGTCAACGGGACGGACCATGGCGGGCGCGTTCTCGCGGTCTTCGAGGTAGATGCCGAGATCCCAAAGGTGCGTGTCGCGGAGTTGGTCACACAGGTCGAGGTAGTCTTTTGCTGGTGCTTGCTTCTTTGCAAGGTCTTGTAGAGACTGTTGGAAAGTGGAAAGGACTTCGGCGTAGGGGACTGCTTCTATGTCTTGTTGCTTCGCGGGGCTATGCTGGGCGATGATGGAGTCTAGCTTCTCATTAAGATCGCCGGCTATGGCATGTTGCCTTACTTGGTCGCGTTCACGTGAAACAGCGTATACGTGCTCCTTGGCGGCTGAAGGAATGTCAATGCCAGCCCAGCCGATGCCACCATCCCAGGGGTCGGCTGAACCGTCAAGGCCAAATATCCGAACCATGCGGGTGATGTAGCGAGCGACGTCGAATGAGACATCGTCAGACAGTCCAGCCTTGTCGGCTGAGTTGTATTCGGTGATGAGGCTGGAAATCGCACGCATAGCGGTAGGTGTGTCGAACGAGTCGGCTAGCGCACTAATGTTACATTAGTAAAAGTTTCGATACCCATCTGCTCGTGTCTTACCTGTGTACTTTCTCCTTCGCAGATTCGAGAGACTGTTTCACCTTCTCGTCTTCAGCACCGGTCGAACTGATGTTTGGATGTACTTCGAGATCCCGAACTTTGTAGAAGAAGTTGGTGACATAGCTCTCCCATGATGAACCCGACTTTCGCATGTCTGGTGTGATTTCAATCCCGTCATGCCAGCCTCCGAGAAGGAAGATGATGCGCAAACTCCGGGCGTTCCAATCACCGCGGCTCAGGGCTTCGCGGATTGTGGTGAAGTTCTTCAAGCTCTTTGACATCTTGGATCCTGATATAGACAGGTGACCCATGTGGAGGAAGTAGTTCACCCACTGCGCGCCACCTTCCTTTTGCCAGTAGGCTTCTGACTGTGCTAGTTCGTTGTCGTGATGCGGGAAGCAAAGATCGATACCTCCACTGTGTATGTCCATCTGTTCACCAAGAACGGCTGAAGCCATGACGGAGCACTCAATGTGCCAGCCAGGTCGGCCCGGACCCCATGGGCTCTTCCATGCTGGTTCTCCTGGTTTCGATGACTTCCAGAGCGCGAAGTCGGAGTCGTTGCGCTTTTCCGAGGTCTTGACTGTTGACAGGGCACCTTCGCCATCTGCTTGCAGATTCGTGTCACCTCTGTTCCATGGCTCCAAGCGTGCGTAGTGGTTTCCCTTTCGCTTCTCGAAACTCTCAATATCGAAGTAAACAGATCCATCCGAGGTGCTGTATGCCATGCCGTTCTTGATAATTTTATCCACGAAAGCTACGATATCATCACCGTACTCAGTCACGCGAGTAACGACATCCGGATCCAGGACGTTGAGCGCTCGCATGTCCTCGTTGAAGCGCGCTTCGTACTTCTTGGTGAGTGTTGTGAAAACCGAGTGGTCGCTGGCATCAATAGTTGAACCATATAGTGAGTCCAGGTAAGGTAACAGTACGTCCTCAGCGCCAGCGTAGAAAATCTCTACATCTTCAGGTGTTGTTTTCGATGGAGCCAGCAACGATGTGACTGCTGTGCTGGCCGTCCGGAGGTGCATCTTGATCTTCGCTTCCTTGTCGCCTGGTGGAACGACGCCGTCGACGGACTTGCCCTGGATGACATTGGCATACTTCTCTGCAGAATCGCTGTTGAAGCTACCGATGTTGACATCCTCGCTGAGCAGAGGGAGGTTCTTCTTGACATATGCGTCAAAGGCTTTGATGGTAGTGTTGACAACTTCATCTGTTACAGTTGGGTTATCGGCCTTGAACTTGGCAAGAAGATATTGTTGGCGCCCGCGCAGGATGATTTTGTCGTCAACGTCTGTGATGTTCTGAACGAACTTCAGCCTGTAACCATAGTAGTGGGCCAGAATTCTCCGCAGAATGTCGTTTGTGACGTAATTTCGAGCATGGCCCAGGTGTGCATCGTCGTAGACGGTAGGACCGCAGCTGTACCACTTGACTTCTTTGCCTTCGGGGTCGATAGGTATGAAGTCATTTTTTGATCTCGTCAAAGAGTTCCAGACTTTCAATTTTGCTGGGTTTGAACCTTTTGGTTCCTTCCATGGAGGTTGGGTGCGCGCCGGTGTGGCCATGTTGGCTGCTAACCTTGGCGATATCTGACTCCGATGTATCCAAGTGCAGTTGGTTTTCGAGAGTAGAAGTGGGGAAGGTGATTTGACGGTGCGGGACAAAGACCGGAAAGCAAGTACCATCAATGTGGCGAGAAACGGGATTGTAAGGAGTGACAGGAAACGGTGCTAGTAGTCAGGCCAGGTGTAAGTTGGGTAGCCGCTTACGGTGAGTCAGTAAGTGATGTTCTCGTCACGTTCTGTTGGTGGTCTCTGAGTGAGCAATAAGAATCCCTGTCGGTGAGGGCTTGGCGTTCCCCTCCAATAGCGTCTTCGAAAGCTCCCCGCTGAATATCTTTTTGTTCTCTGGAGCTCCGAGTCGCGATCGCATCATCTCCACATCTTTGGTCTGTCGCGACTTCTCACACCCATGGCGACTACACCTTCCCCGTTCCTTGACCCGGGGACTTGCGCGACATCAAACAACCTCGGTATACTACAATTGCGCCGCGATCAACTTATTCCTGCCGTCTTGAGACCAGAGGCCGATTCCGACTATCCTGAAGGCAAGGTTGAGAACACGCGATTCGGTTCTTTCCCACATAGTACACTCGTCGGTCAGCCCTGGGGTACGCAAATCCTTGCGTCACTCGTTGACACCGGATCGCGCGGAAAGAACAAGAAGCGCAAGAGAGACACCAAAGATGAAGGAGAGGGCACACCAGTCGCCGAGCCGGAAACGGCGAAGAAGGATATCGTGAAGGCTGCCGCAGCGAGTAGTGGTTTTGCGCATCTCATACCACCTACGCCAGAAATGTGGACGATATCGTTACCACATCGTACGCAAGTTGTATACACGCCCGACTACAGTTACATCTTGCAGAGACTGCGCGCAAGACCCGGCGACCACATAATCGAGGCCGGCGCAGGCAGCGGAAGTTTTACGCATGCGTCGGTACGAGCTGTCTACAATGGCTACCCGGGGACACAGGCTACTGAGCCGGATACAAATGGCGACGAGGAGAATGCAGTAGACATGTCCAAGAAAAGGAAGCGCAAGACACGGACTGGCGGCGTATACAGCTTTGAGTACCACCAACCGCGCGCAGAGCAGCTACAGCTCGAGATCAAGGATCATGGCCTGGATCCTCTCGTAACAGTCACACATCGCGACGTATACAACGACGGTTTCAATCTCGAAGATTCGACAGGCCCAGACGCCGACTGCGTATTCCTCGATCTGCCAGCGCCATGGCACGCCCTCAAACACCTCACGCGCTCCCCTCCCTCCTCCGCCGCATTGAAGTCCGTCGCTTCAGACCCATCCACACCTGACGAACCCGCAACCGAAGCACCACCACCGAACACTTCCTCCTCAAGACCCTTCCGCAGCCCCCTCAACCCGCGAAACGCAGTCCGCATCTGCACATTCTCGCCCTGCATCGAACAAGTCACAAAGACCGTCTCCGCCCTCCGCACACTCGGCTGGGTGGAAATAGACATGGTAGAGATCAACGCCAAGCGCCTCGATGTACGTCGTGAGCGCGTCGGTCTGCAAGAAGAAGGTGTTCGCGGCGGCAATGCGCATCCCGCAAACGTCCAGGAAGCGGTACAAAGACTCAGGGACGTGGAAGGCCGTGCGGCAGTATTCCACAGCATGCAGCGCGAAAAGCAAGAGGAGGTTATGCGGAAGGCTGAGGCGCGGAAACGGGGGGAGAACGTAGACAAAGACGGCGTGGGCCAGGGCAAGAAGAAGAAGATGGAAGGCGTTCCGCCGAGCAAACACGACAGGCTTGCTCAGTCGAAGAAGGACATGGAGAGCAGGACACTGTTCAAGGAGGGCAGGCTGGTGCACAGGACTGAGCCAGAGCTCAAGACACATACCTCATATCTTGTCTTCGCCGTACTACCACGAGAGTGGACTAAGGAAGACGAGGAGAAGGCGAAGAGGAAATGGGGCTGAAACTTGAGCATTTGATATCAATGGAAGATACCCAGATTACGAAAACTATTCTTCAAAACAGGAGCTTTGTTCCTCATTCCTAGAAAAAGGCATCTGCCTAAAACTAACACGAACACCTCCGACGCTGCCATTTCTAGACACCCACTATCCCCAGACAGCGTCCTTCGCCCTATGACTTCCACTCCTCCCCGGTGGTGTGCTGATACTGTGCGTCCAAGCCTCGTTTCCATCGATGAACAGCCTGTAGTTAACAAAGCTCTGCTCTCCGTGTTCAGGTGTCGTAATCTCTACAGCACCAAACTTGCTGTTACCGTCAGGAAGGTACTTGAGGCATACATCCTCGTCATCTGTCTCCTTGTATGTCCGGAAGGGTAGATAGAACATGCTCAACGGACTGGTGCTGAACTCGTGTACCGTAGCGCTCGTAGGCCACTTGCCATCCTTCGGTGGTGGGAAGGACGTAGCAGCGAACTCGTGACGATCACCGCTGAGGACTACGACGCCGATGTCGTGCGCAGAAGAGAGGTCCCATGCAGCTTCCAGGATACGTCTGCGCTCATATAGATGCCCGCCCCATGTGTCTTCCGACCCGAATTGCCAGTTCTTTGTGAAGGGTGTACCCGTGACAATGAACTTCCAGTGAACGCCCGGAGGTGGTAGTTTATGTATCCAGTCCAGTAAATCCGAGAGCTGCTGGGCACCAAGCATAGTTTTTGTGGGGTCGGAAGCGTCTTTGCTCGCGGGGGTACGGTATCGTCGGGTGTCGAGGAGGAAGAACTCTGCTGGGCCCTGTGTGAACGAGTAGTAAGTGACGCCTTCGCGATGAGGAGGAGGATTGGGCGCGGCGTTGTAGTGCGTGAAGGCGTCGTAGGCTGGGACTGCTACACCCGTCATGTTGCTGTTCCAGTCATTGTGAATCTCATGGTCGTCAATGACGTGGATCCATGGCAGGTTCTCGCTCACTGCCGGCCACGATGGCGAAGAGTAGACCTGTCGGTACTCGCGTCGGTATGTTTCGACATCACTACCCTGACGGTGTGGCACATCCACGTAGATGAAGTCACCGAGAAACAGCATGAAGTAGGGCTTGAGCTCTGGTAGCCAGCGCGCTAGGTGCTTCATGCCGGGGAATTCGAGAGGGTGCTGGAAGGGAGTGTACGGGACGCGAGGCTTGATGCAGCTCGAGTGTACGAAAGTGTATTTGTTGTCCTTGAGCATCGATATGCGACCTGGTTTCGGAGCAGTTGTGAAGGTGCCTGATATGTTTCCGCGCGAAGTCTCGACGATGTACTCGTAAGGCAGATCGGGTCGCAGGTGTTCGATGTTCATAACGGTCGTGAAGTCGGTCTCGTTGGTGAGCCAATACTCGGGTTGGCTGGCGCGATGGGTCTTGTGCATCCACGACCGTTCGGTTCCATCGATGGAGCGATAGAGGACCTTCACGTCAAACGCGTACGGCTCTCGCACCAAGATCTTTGCGCTGTTCTCCGAGACGTAGCCGACGCGTGCAAAGCTCGCATCATGGCATTGGTGGAGTAACGGAGCGCGATAGACGACGTCCAAGGCCATTGCAATCAAGGCCATGTTGATGCCAAAGGTGATCCAGCTCCACATGGCTGATGAAGGACTCGGGAGCCCAGTGAGCAGTGTACGCAGCACCTTGGGTTCCCTTTCCTCATATTGGACAGTCTCTTGGACGTCAAGCTCTTTCAGCGGCTCATCATCGGCACCGTCAATGAGCTGTACTTCTTCGCTGGAGTCATCGCCGCGTCCACCGACAGTCTCCTTCACGATGATGTCGAGTTCATCGGATATGACCTTGTATTGTGCCGTGTCCTGGAAGCTGGTGAAGAAGGAGGGGATGTAGACGAGCGTGAGGGCGGTCGCAAGTGCAGGTACGATTGTTGTGGGTATCTGCAGAACGGTTAGCTACATGCATCAAGCTACTCGTTCTCTCCTCGTACATACCCATCGCAGGAAGATCCATATGCTCAGACGGAGTGTCAAAGAGCTAATGAGGGTAAGAACATCGCTCGCAGATGCCATGTTTGCTAAGCGACAAGCATCACTCGGCAAAGGTTTGACGAGGAGAGATGCGCGTCTCGAAGCTTGTGAAAGTGGAGCCATCACCAAACGCGAACCAGCATGACGTCGTTGGCGCTAAAGACGGAACAAGCTAGCGGTTCTGCGAACGCGTCTGTGAACGTGTGACTGTGCCATTCACTCATACCACGCGATACAACCTTGCAAGATCCCTCGCGTTCTCAAAAATATTGTCACGCGGGTATCATCAATGGCCTAACAGCAAAGATGGACGCGTCTTACCTATCTGAGGGTGCATGCCCGGGCTGAGTTAAGCGACATGCATCTTCAGCTCCTCTACCCGTCAGGCTGAGATACTGGCACATCCTCTTTCCCCGCTTTCCAGATCTCCGCCTCCGATATGCGACATGCGTCTCATCAACACAAGTACTCGGAAGTTCGAAGAGTTCATCGGCACATCAATCCCCGCATATGCAATTCTCTCTCACACCTGGGGTAAAGAGGAGGTGACTTACAGAGACTACGTTAAAACCCGCGATGCCTCCATGAGACGCTACAAGAAAATCCGCATGACTTGTAAAATTGCGGAAAAGGCCGGGATAACGCATTGCTGGATCGATACCTGCTGCATTGACAAGAGTAGTAGCGCTGAGCTTACGGAAGCTATCAATTCCATGTATCGATGGTACAAAGACGCCAAAGTCTGTTATGTTCATCTGGAAGATCTGGCTCCAACCACAGCAACAAGTGTCGCTACAGCGAAAAGCGTCGATTTGTCGAAATGCCGCTGGTAAGCTCGACCATTGCGTCCACGCTTCCCATACTGAGCACACTAGGTTCACGCGTGGCTGGACTCTCCAAGAGCTGATTGCGCCGCGCGATATCCGATTCTATGATGCCAAATGGAATTTCATTGGTCCAAAAAAGGATCTGATTGATGACTTGTCGACTATTACTGGCATTGGCGCCGGAATCCTGATGCATGAACAGTCATTGGACCTAGTATCAGTGGCAGCAAGGATGTCTTGGGCGGCAAAGAGAGAAACTACGCGGACTGAAGACATGGCGTACTGCCTTCTTGGAATCTTCGACGTGAACCTTCCGTTGCTGTACGGCGAGGCAGAGAAAGCTTTCCAGAGACTTCAAGAGGAAATCATTCGTTCGAAAGCCGACCTCAGTATCTTTGCTTGGAAATGTACCCCGACCCCAGGAGTTGATGAATGGACGCTTACTGGTGTTCTCGCGCGGTCGCCACAAGATTTCTCGCATGGTCATGTTGTGGAACGCTTGTACAGGAGGGAAACCCATGATTTCGCCATCACCAACGTCGGCATCAAAATGCGTCTACGAAACCTTTGGGCACCAGACTTCAGCTATGTTATGCAGTTGAACAGCTATTCGGCCGTTACAGGAAAACACTTGGCACTGAGACTGCGCAAAGTTGGTCCAGAAATGTACTTGAGGAAGGGGCCATACGATCTTTTGGAGTATACTACTGGCGCCTTCTCGGAGAGGCGACCTGTCGATCGATACCTCCTTACCTCCATACCGGCAATTCCAAGGTTCTCGGAGTGGTTGGATCCATCAGCAAGGTTTCAACACGCAGGAAGGCTTTTGTCCTTCATGCGACAATTTCCCATCCATATCAAGCTTCCACCGACATTCAAGTTGATCAAATTGTGGCCAGCTGATCGTTGGGATCAAGAAGACCGGCTGTTCTTTCTCTCTGGCGATTCACGTTGGGATACGTTTCAACTGGACCTACGGCATGAGATCTCTTATGTTGTCAAATCCTCTGACGGTACTCTCACTGATAAGACTCTAACCATTGATTTTACCCTGTATGCCTTGGGATGGTCTCATATACAGCTCGACGCTAAAGATCGTGCTTCATTCGGTCTCGTAAGCCGTCTGGAACATTGGACAAGCGTTGACAAAATCTATCGGTGGATCCTGGACGAGGAGCCAACCACAGCTGCAATATCCAGGTGGTTTAGAGCGGAACAGATGCCGAGACACCAGTGGATACGCTGCGATATACCCCAGACCGCTCGTAGCCTAGTCATAAAGATCGAGAGTACACTGCATGACACTGTCACTTTGACAGCGGAGGAATTGCCCAGCATCGACGTACCAGAGCGAGACACACAAGACTGGCCTGCGTTTAGGGACTCCTAGGTCAATGTCACAATTTGCTGATATATATGTACTACACAAGTCAGATATCTCTCATCGTAGTCATTCCCAAATCTACACCTTCTACCAAGTGTTCATACATGATAGGCGACGCATCGTGTCCAGTAAATCTCGCATTCTCAGATGTCACATCATCGCCAAGAGAACCTATTCATTACCACCCCTATTCCTCAGCACCTCCAAACTCCCCACACTATGCATAAGCCAAACGTTGTCACCCTCCTGAGTACATATGCACTCTCATACGGACAGTATGAGCGAATCATACGATCAAACTTGGGATCCTCAATTGCGTTTATCTCACGAACGATAACACCCCCGTTTCAAGGAGGAGAATAAACACTCATTCACAGCGGATAATAGAAGTGATAAATCTAGAAGCTAACATAGCATGACGATCTTGCGAGCTTTTGGTTCATACCCGTGTAAACTGCAGGGCGCCTGTCAATTCCTTTGTTACATAGGGTACACACCTTCATCTTTGAGATCTTCGAGGAATTCATGTTCAACATGGAAGTGGAATTCGGCGACAGCACGAACAAACCATTGAGGGGTACGTACAGAACGCATGATTTGAAGGTTAGTGAGGAGCTCAGGATTCGTCGGCAGATTCTTGTCATCACATACCCGGCTACCCAAAGTACTTTCAAAGTCATTGCAATCGGATCATCACGAGACGAGCGCGCAGACAAGAAGACGAAAATAGTGGCACGTCAGACGAAAGTGTTAGGCTTATGACGCAGTAATGATGAGGTCTGATAATTGCGGCGAAGGAAGTCAACATGGAGGCGCAGGGCTGCTAAGCTACCCGCGTTGACATGGAACGAAAATGTCCATCAAAGGTTTTGTTCCATGAAACTGCGATGACGAAAACAACGATGATATCGTCTCTCTGCCTCTCAACCTCGGCATCCTATCAGTCACAATCCACCCGTCTCATCTCCACACGCATCGCTCGCGGCCGATCAAACAGCCCTCATACTCCAACGCAGCCACAACCACATTCACATGCACGCCATCCATCCTCACCTCCGCAATCACAATCACGCGTTCCTGCATCATCCTCCTCCTCCACAAGCTTATCTTCCTTCGACGCCGTTTGTCATGCGGCCAAGACGCTCTTTCCTTTTCCCAGAAAATATGAGCGCATTCGCGGACCCTAACGTGTTTCACCTTGACGAAGGAACAATCATAACACGACACGGAACGCGACGTAGCACGACGCGACATGAGACGGGACGGACGACGGCAAATATCAACACAGTACAGTAATCAACGCACCCGTTGTCGTCGTAGTCAGTCGTGGTCGTAGTCGTGGTCGTGAGATTAAGCCCCATCCCGGCCACAACCACCCACCCAGGTACGCACGCACCACACGGAGAAATCTTACATTCGAAAGGAAGAAAGGCGGCAAGAAGGGCGATCACAAGGGTATCGTCGGAACGCTGTTTCTGCCTGGTAAGTTTGAGATGAACGGGTATCTGATCGGGGTCGGTGGTTTTCACGGCGAGATAAGGGAGGCGGCAGCGCCGAGTCAAGTCACGAACATGCTGTCGGACGTGAGGGTCCTTTTTGCTCGTCAATTTCGGACGGCGGGTTATAGGCAGGGATGGGGCGGATATTGAGATCGCCTGAGTGAGGCTGTACTTTTTTTCTCTCTATCTCGTGTCTATCTGGCAGGTGGGGTGCGTCGTGGGTGTGACCGTGACCGTGTGATGGTGGAGTGGAGAAGGGATGGGCGGTGGGTGGGTGATGGAGTGGAGTAAAACGGTCGTCGCGTCGGGGGATAGAACGGTGTTTATTGCAACTTAGTCAGGATAGCCGAGCATGAATGCTGAGAGTGAGTCGAGATAGTCATCCCATTGGTGGTATGATTGAGGGAGCGACGGAGGGGAACGCATGGACTACACGTGTACTGTAGTAAAGGCAAAGCAAATTCCCATCATTGTCGCACTGCAGGTATACGCGGAGAGGGCGTTGTCAAGTCTTTTTCCTCCGGCTCTAGTAACTGCTCCGGAGTACTATCGTTTGCATACCCGAGTAAAAAGCATACTGAGTTCACACATCGAGCCGACACGTACGCTACACATGTCGGGTGTCTGTAAACTGTCGGTGTTAGCCGATAGGCCGCATGTTTCGTGGTCCAGTTAGTTTCCTTCTGTTCGCCTCGTTCGTCTTCCCTAACAGGGACAAAACAAGGGTACCTGTCCCCACATCAATCACCCTGCGATAGCCAAGCCCAAAGAAACACAGCGCAAAAACTGGGTCTTTGGTCGCCTTCGGTCCGCGGCAAAGCAGGGTGTTGGTGGGGACGGCGGAACTCAATCGGTCCTGGGAATAATGCCTTTTTTTCCGGAGCCGAACGTGTTGTAGGAAGAGGAAACTTGGATTTTGAGAAGTTGAGACCCAAGGTCCACTGTAGAGAGGGTCTGGCAACGTCATATTGGACCGTGGGGTTGGGTTCGCGAAGGTTTGTTGATGCCTGGTTATGCTGGGAAAGTTTGTGATTGGAAACCTGGTGGTTGGGCTGCGTGATGTGGCGTCATTGTGCATGCGCGCTGGCGATGTCGTTGTCGCAAGTTGATGGCGTGACAATCCGGAGTACCGTGAACATGTACGTCACAAAACAAAGGTGTTAGCCACGATCATGGGTTCTGGTGGAGCGATGTGACAGGCAAAGTGTTGTAAGCGAAGTAGATTCTATTTCTCTCATCTCGCTAAGTGGCGACGACTAATTGGGATATCATGACTGTTCGTTCCGAAACAAAACAAAGTCAGGCTGCGAGCTGAGCGACAAATTGTAAATG